ATCACTTATCTGCTCCTGCTTGATACAATATTTTCCACAATAAATTCCACAATATGTTCCACAATATGTGGGTTCCACAATGATTGACACTTTTATTTATCTGTTCATCCTTTTAAAGTGGCTTTGACAGCAACTACATTGTATAAAATGCATGGGAATAAAGGTGACTTGTCTTCAGCCCTTATGTAAAGCCAACTGAGGCCATATAAATGTGCTCTTTGAGAGGCAGGTGGATCACTGTCAGGTGCTCTGAGAGAATAGGGTGCTATATTAAGTAAGTAAGGATTAAGTAAGCGATTGTTGTTGAATAATGGTAATGATGACAGCTTGTGTGTAGGTATGCTGACGTTATGTTGTTTGCTTTTCACTTAAATAGTATGTTAGAGTGCAAGAACATATATAAAAAACTTTTGTGAGCTGAGAGAAAAAGAGTGTGAGTATTTAGTTTCTGTTGCATCTTGTAAAGAAATCTTTAAACTGATACAACCTGAAGAATGCAAGTTAGCAGCATTAACTGTAAAAGAGACATTGTAAATTGTGGAGAAATTAACAAAGTCAAATTGTGGAGGGAGAGAATAGACTGCAGTCGGCCATAATCATGGTGTGATTTTGGAGGGGGGGTTTTTTCTACTTTTTTTTTTAACAACAAAATGATAATAGAACATTTAGATTTAATATATATCTTTAATATGTACAGTATATTAGGGATAGGATGGTTCATTAAAAAACTAAATGTTCGGCTCTCATCACGGTTCGATACACAAGTGTATTGAATGGTTCACACATTTTTTGTGTATGTGTGTGTATATATATATATATATATATATATATATATATTTATACAACAGTTCTGTCTGGTTCTTGAATCTGATTGGCTGATAGCCGTGATATATTTAAGTAATATCAGAACCTGTACAGCCTCTTTACCCTTTGTGTATTACTCCGCCCACATACAGCCAGCAAAAAGCAGACACCCCAGATCTAAAGTTTAAAAAATGCTTGCTCAGCTGTTTGATTTGAATCCAACGCGGAAAAAGTAGTTCCTTATACAAAAGGATTTTTGAGACTCTCCATGTTTGATTTTGTTTTTATATCCACAATTATGCCGTCGTAGCAGTGCGATGTGGCCTACGGCCTCGTGCTAATAGACGCCTCCCACCAGTGCCGATATATAGCCATATCGCACTGCTACTCGTGTGATATATGCTATATATATATGCTTGTGTGATATATATATATATATATATATATATATATATATATATATATATATATACACTCACCGCCACTTTATTAAGAACACCTTACTAGTAACAGGTTGGACCCCCTTTGCCTTCAGAACTGACTTAATCCTTTATGGCATAGACTTAACATGGCACTGGAAATATTCCTCCGAGATTTTGGTCCATATTGAGATGACAGCATCACGCAGTTGCTGCAGATTCATCGGCTGCACATCCATGATGCGAATCTCCCGTTCCACCACATCCCAAATGTGCTCTATTGGATTGAGATCTGGTGACTGTGGAGGCCATCTGATTTCAGTGAACTCATTGTCATGTGCAGCAAACCAGTCTAAGATGAGCTTTATGACATGGTGCTTTATCCTGCTGGAAGTAGCCATCAGACTGTGGTCATAAAGGGATGGACATGGTCAGCAACAATACTCAGGTGGCCTGTGGGATTGACGCGATACTCAGTTAACACTAATTGGCCCAAAGTGTGCTAAGAAAATATTCCCCCATCCAGTACACCGCCACCACCAGCCTAAACCGCTGATACTAGCAGGATGAATCCATGCTTTCATGTTGTTGACGGCAAATTTTGATGTACCATCCGAATGTCACAGCAGAAATCGAGACTCATCAGACCAGGCAATGTTTGTCCAATCTTGTCCAACTTTGATGAGCCTGTGTGAATTGTAGCCTCAGTTTCCTGTTCTTAGCTGACAGGAGTGCCACCCGGTGTGGTCTTCTGCTGCTGCAGCCCATCTGCCTCAAGGTTGGACATGTTGTGCATTCAGAGATGCTCTTCTGCTTACTTCGATTGTGACTTTTTATCAGCTGGAACCAGTCTGGCCATTCTTATCTGACCTCTGGCATTTACAAGGCATTTGCGCCCACAGAACAGCCACGCACTGGATATTTTCTTTTTGGACCATTCTCTGTTAACCCTAGAGATGGTTTTGTGAGTGTATATATATGCGTGTGTGTATTTATTTTGTTCTGTTTCATTAGTGTTAAATTATTGTATTATTATTATGATAGAATCACCTAGATAGAAAAACCTCTGCACGCAAGGCATGTGATTTTCTTAACAAACGTTTTCATATTAATGATATTGATGTTTAATAATAATAATAATAATAATATCAATAATGATAAATGTAAGGAGTCAGGGGCCTTCCGTAACTTACAGGGCCCTACACACCTTGCGTGGTGTCCACGTACAGATCAGTCCATACTTTTATGATTAATGTTATGTACTGAACATTACTTTATAGTTACAGTAACTTACAAATCCAAGGCACAAATAAAGTACTTTTTTGCTCTGGACAGACAAAAAGAAAAGAAAGGAAATTCCAGAGTTATCATTTACCTCAGAGGAGCTGGAAAACGGATCGGCCCTGAGGATGATGTCATCGGAGCAAGTCCGTGTGTATTATGTTCCTGTCGTGCTTCCTGTTTTATTGGAAAATGGACTGTGAGAGAGTGAGCGAGGAGAAGGGAAAATGAGGGGAAGCTTGTGTTTCGGTTTGTTTTGTCCTGTCCACTAATGCACCTGCCTCTGAGCCTCCAGTCTCTGTGTCTGGATGATGTCATTCTGAGCTGCCGCTGATTATAGACACGCAACAGTTACTCTACTCGCATAAACAAGTGGACATGCACACAAACATGTCATTTTGATGGTCATCAGGAGGGAGTCACCGGCTAACCCACGATATGATACTGTCACAATATGTTGCTCATTTTAATGTTATATTGATATATGATAACAAAACGATTAGTCCTCCTTTGACATTTAATGTAAGCACTGTTTAATGTAAAGAAGATTTGTAACACATCATCATTTTAATAACATTTTTTTTTTTTACTTTTCCAGGATGATAGTACATAATATTTAGTTATTTTGCAAAATACAAGTATCCAAGTGTAATTTAAAGTCCTAAATTGGCTACTTAGTTTAACTAAGCAATGTTGTTTAATTAGGGAAGGTTACATGTTCTAAAGACATGGAGAGCAAAACTAACAAATGCAGAGTGAAAATACATTTGCACCAAACTTATTCTCCAACTTAATGGCGAGTGAAGTTTCAATTCAATTCAATTCATCTTAATTCTATAACGTTTTTACAATTTAGACTGTCAAAACAGCTTAACAAGCTTAAGCTTAGAAGATTATAGTAAATTGAAACAATGTCAGTCCAGTTTTTAGAGTTTAAGTTCAGTTTAGTTAAGTTCACTGTGGTTTAATATTCACTGCTGAGAGTTCAAACACTGAAAAGCAAATCCATTGATGCGCAGCTCCACAGTAGCAACAGTGGCGAGGAACAAACTTCACCATTTGATGAAGTGAAGGGGAAAAAAATCCTTTTCCCCTCCAGGCTCAGTTGAGCACAAACATTTCTCCTCTGGACAAACTTCTTGTGTAGAGCTGCAGTCTAGGTGCCGGAAGCTGGAGAACGCTGGACGTCCATTGTGGAGAAGCTGCAGGTGGGAGAGGTCACCGGCTGGTGTACTGGCTGGTCATTCAGGATCAATGCGAAGACTTGTCTGTCACTGGGTCTCATGCTCTCCACCCATCCATGACCGCCACATCAGCTGCTCAGGATACGGCCTGGTCCACGATTATGGAAATGTCAGGAATAATAAAAACAGACTAACATAAGCGTAGATGCCGTTCAAATTATAACGTCTTTTTGGGAAGTGTTCACGGCTCCAGTTGCCCTAAATAAAACAGACTAACAATACTTTAAAGGATTTGGATCTCAAAAGCATCTGTGTTTTATCTGTATGCTATTGCATAGTAGCCAGTGGTCAACAGTAGGGCTGCACGACATTGGAAAAATCTGATATTACAATATTTTATTTTCCCGCCTTAAAACAAGCTAAACTATTTGCCAGTGGGCTAAATAAAATAATCTTGTTTTCGTTTTGAAATATAGATATTTTCACTAGAAACAAGACAGAACTCTTTTCAAATAACTCTTATCATATAAATTCTGCATAAAAATAAATTCTGTAGCTCCTGGTCAACTATAATTCAGACTCAACATTGTGTATCTTTTGATGTGCCTTTTGCGGACGCGCACATTGCGATATCAATAGTGAAACAATATATTGTTCAGCCACAATTATCAGAGATGTTAATTACATTGTAGAAGGTTGATATGTCTAAAGAAATTTCTACACAACCTAACACAATTAGGATTGTCTCGCTAAAGGTAATATCATATTCTTTTGTCTCACCCCTAGTCACTATAGCTTATATAATATCGCATTGCTATAGTGTCGGAAATGGCAATCAAGAGAAAACAATTAATTTTTTTATTGTGTCTAATATAATTTACTGTGTTTTTTTCTGCAGTTTGTGACTTTATTAATAACTTATTTGAATCTTTGCAGAGATGTATGGATGTAGTCCTCCAAGTTCATGGGAGTCATTCATACAATATTCATTCTTTTTCCACTGCACATTGACTTTATATTCTATACTGTCCATTATTTCTGTTAAGACTTTTGTCTAAGCAAAGACAGACCTTACTGTCCTAATTAAATTATTTAAAATCAAGGCATGATCATATTTTATTTTGGTCAAATAAGTAATTTAAAGGCCTTTGCCTTTTATGTAAGCCAATTCTGATACCAAATTATCAACTAGAATTCAAGTTATTAGTGTGCTGTTCCTAAAACTTGGACAGGTGACAAGACTTTTGTCAGGCACTGTATATTTATTGATATGTACAGTTGATAATATTATTTTCTGTGTTTTTTTCTGCAGTTTGTGGATGTGACTTGGCTCAAGGAGGGTTTTTTGTGCGTCAAGGCGAGTATATCTGCACTGTGGATTACCAGCGACTCTATGGCACCCGCTGCTTCAGCTGTGAGGAGTTCATTGAAGGAGAGGTTGTGTCTGCCCTGGGCAAGACTTACCATCCACGCTGCTTTGTTTGTGCCACCTGCAAGTAAGACACACTTGCATACTGTACACACTCGCATACATTCACTATTGTACATTTAACTTTAGGTTTATATTTACCTTGTGGTGGATAATGTAAAATGGTAGTAACCAAATTTCAAAATGGTATTCACATAGTTTGTTCAATATGAAATCCAGGTTATTATAGTTAATTAACTTATCCAGCATATGTTTTGTGCAGCTGCAACCCATCACTGGGAAACATCTATACATGCTTATTTACACTTACTATATACACTATGGACAATTTAGCCCCCCCAATTCACCTATAGCGCATGTTTTTGGACTTGTGGGGGAAACCAGAGCACCCGGTGGAAACCTATGGAAACAAAGGGAGAACATGTAAACTCCACACAACTCCACACAACGCCAATTGACCCACCAACCTTCTTGCTGTGAGGTGATCATGCTACCCTCTGCGCCACCATGACACTCCTAGGATAGAAGTCTTACTGGTATTTTTTTTAACTATAAATAAAATAAAAGTTAAGAAAAAATAAATAAATACCCAAATAACCCACTCACTTTCTTTTACTTGGATTAGTCCTTGCATTATCAGTGGTCACCACAGTGGAATGAACCACCAATTACTCTGCCATATGTCTTAATGGTTCCCTTCCTGCTCTTTAACACTTGAACCTACAGTTCTGGAAAAAAAACTTTGTCATTCACACACTCACCTTTACACTGGTCAGTTTGGCGTATCCAATTCACCTTTATCATGTACTGTATTGGGACACTGGGAGAAACTAGGGAAACCAGGGCACCCCAAGGAAACCCATCCAAAACATGCAAATCCATACAGAATGGCCCACTAGCCTTATAGAAAAATTCTAGAACCATATAGAAATATTTGAATAATATTAATAATAAAGACAAAAGCACAATTTTTTTTTACTAATTTATGTAAAAAAATCATTATTTACTTAAAATTAATTGTAATAGAAAATAAGTCAAGGGAATAGCAATATTTAGTGATGATATGTGAGTAATCAACTTTTAATAATTGGTTAGTAGTTTAATTGATAAAATTAAATTATAATAAAATCTATAGATTTTTTCAAGTTCACTACCTGTCAAAAGTCTTGTCATCAATGGCATCAATTCCAGCAACAAATATGACTTGTTTTCTAGTTGATCATTTGGAAAATTGGCAGATGGTAGAATTTTCCAATGAATCATCTGTTGAACTGCATCCCAATCATCACCAATACTGCAGAAGACATATTGGAACTCACATGGACCCAAGATTCTCACAAAAATCAGTCAAGTTTGGTGAAGGAGAAATCATGGTTTGGGGTTACATTCAATCTGGGGCTTGCAAGAGATCTGCAGAGTGGATGGTAACATCAACAGCCTTAGGTATCAAGACATTTGTGTTGCCCTTTACATTAGAAACCACAGGAGAGGGCAAAGTCTTCAGCAGGATAGCGCTCTTTCTCATACAGGTCAAAGTGCTCCAAAATTGGCCAGCCCAGTCACCAGATATGAACATTATTGAGCATGTCTGGGGTAAGATGGGGGAGGTGACATTGAAGATGAATCCAAAGAATCTTGATGAATTCTGGAAGTCCTGCAAGAACGCTTTCTTTGCTGTTCCAGATTACTTTATTAATAAGTTATTTGAGTCATTGCAGAAATGTATGGATGCAGTCCTCCAAGTTCTTGGGAGTCATGCACAATATTAATTACTTTCTCCACTGCACCATGACTTTATATTCTATAGTTTCCATTATTTCTGTTAAGACTTTTGTCTAAGCAAAGTCAGACATTACTGTCATAATTAAATGATTTAAAATCAAGACATGATCATATTTTATTTTGGTAAAATAAGTTTAATCTAGAGGCCTTTGCCTTTCATATAAGCCACTTCTGATACCAAGTGATCAACTAAAACTCAAAGTATTTGTTTGCTGTTTCTAAAACTGGGATAGGTGACAAGACTTTTGTCAGGTACTGTATATTTATTGATATGTACAGTTGAAAGTCAAAATTCGAAGGTCAATATTATTAGCCTCTTTAAGCTATATATTTTTTTCGATAATCTACAGAACAAACCATCGTTATACAATATCTTGCCTAATTACCCTAACCTGCCTAGTTAATCTAGTTTACCTAGTTAAGCCTATAAATGTCACTTGAAGCTGTAAAGAAGTGTCTTGAAAATATCTAGTAAAATATTATTTACGGTCATCATGGCAAAAATAAAATAAATTAGTTATTAGAAATGAGTTATAAAAACTATTATGTTTACAAATGTGTTGAAAAAATCTTCTCTCCTTTAAATAGAAATTGGGGAATAAAATAAACTGGGGGCTAATAAATCAGGGGGATAATAATTCTGACTTCAACTGTATATAAATATTATTGTTATTTGTTTTAATACTATCAATATATATATATATCTTTATAATAAATTATTTTATTATAATAAATTTGCAAGCCTCTGATTTGCTATGCCCTTAAGAATGCATAACTTTTGCTAAATTCATTTTAAACATATAGCCATAAGATTTTTTTTACCAAATACATTCTGATCAAATAAAATTTTGATAGAGCAAATAGTTCCCCCTCATGAAGACTCAAATTAAATGCACTTACTGTATTGTATTTGTTGGAGTTTTGTTTTAAAATGTTCTGTGGGTGCTTGTGTATGTGTGAACTTAATGGGAAGTCAATCTTGTTACTCAGGGTGGGGAAGGAAAGGGTTTCAGTAAGAATGTTAAGTGTGTGCTCCGCTCCCAGGCCACTTATTTACAGAGGGGTGTAGGGTGTCCCTCTGAATGGATGTTGTGTATGTGCATGTGACACGAGTCCCTCCTGCATTTACCACAGCGATGCCCATGTTTCTGTGGACACGCTGTTCCCAGTTGGTATCTTGGGTGCGACTGAATTTAAAATCACCTCGTAAATGTCTCGTTTGTAGTTACTCTGGATGACTCTATCCAGCCCTTTCCAACACTTAGTGCTTGTGTGATTGCCAGATTGAAATGATTGTTGTAATTATAACTTTAATGGCAGGCTAGCAGGTGTGAAGTACACAGGCTCTTTACTGATGATATTTGTACAAATTCAATTCACAGACGCACAGTACCTGTTGTAACACCGAAATAAATAGATATTTGTCACAAAGAGTTGAAGTTAGATTACATCAGACACTGGTGTGATAATCGGATTAAGAGATTCACTCTTAAATTGGGTGATGAGAGCTGATGATCAACATACTGTGATTTCATCGGCTCTCACACTGAACTATGAGCCAAACAGATGACTGGACCTGAGCCATCAAGCCTGTTTCATGCTTCAACTGAGAGTATTGTTCATGCCCTATTTAATGTAGCATTATTTAAATTAATTTAGAAGATTTTTTATGTAATAATATTAGTTTATAATCATGTGAAACTTAAAAAGGAGGTACAAAAGATATGGTATTCATTTTCTCTTGCTTTATTAAAAAAAATTGCATGCATATCTTATACATTAAAGGGATAGTTCACACACAAAAAATGATAACTTACTATTTACTCACCCTCTAAGTGATTCTAAAATGTTATGAGTTTCTTTCTTCCGTTGAACTCAAAACAAAAAAGTTTTTTAAGAAAACTGAAAACCTGTAACCATTAACTTTTTCCAGGATAAATAAATACTATGGAAGTCAATAGTTACGTTTCAAAATAACTTCTTTTGTTTTCAACAGAAGAACAAAACTCAAACAGGTTTCAAACAAGTGAATGGAGAGTAAATGATGACAGAATTTTTTTTTAACTATTCCTTTTTACATGCATGTCATGCCATGGCATTGATGGTATATTGGTTAGTTACGTTAGTATTTGCATTTCCAAAAGAAAAGATGTAATTTTAGTACTTTTGCTTCATTTATAAGTTTTAGATTTCCACTGTATCCAGTGCAAATCAAGTCCATACTTATTAACTTATTGATTTATTTATTTTAATTGAAAATCAAGATTATTACACCAAATATGGATTTCCTAAATCTTTTGAAGTTAAAACTCTGCGTGTCATCAAAAAATGAATATAAGCATGTCTGTAAACTATTACTTGTTTCATTATTTTGACCAATTCTCATTTTCTGCAAGGAAATATCAGGAAATGGAACTGTCTTTAGTAGTTTACACAATAAAATCAAAGTGTAATTTTACTGAAACACATAACCATAAATTGAGGAAAATTTTCAAGTGGAAGTAATCATTGGCATTGCATGCAAAATGCATTTGCTTTCATAGCTTAGAAAACAGAATAAACACAAATGAAACTGTTTCAGGCCTCAACTACAGCTACAGTGATCGACAGTCAAAGTAGAGTAGCATATATTGTTTGTGGACGCTAATTGTAGACCTTTGTGTGTTATTATGTTAATGTGTTGCTATTTACAACTTGTTCCAGGCTGCTTAAAAAGAAAATTTATATTCATTAATACTTTAACATTTTATGCAATTTTTTAAATTAATTTAAAGTAAGGGGTGGCACAGTGGCTGGGGCAATTGGCATTTGTATGTGGAGTTTGCATGTTCCACCAGTGTTTGCGTGGGTTTCCTCCAGGTGCGCTGGTTTCCCCCACAGTCCAATGTGTATATAGGTGAATAAAATAAACTAAATTGGGCGTAGTGTATCAGTGTAAATGTGAATGAGTGTATGGGTGTTTTCCAATGCTGTGACAGTTGAGTTTAAGGTTGGGGTAGGTCCGCAGCCGCTAGATCTCTGGTGATTGTCACAGTTCACATAGCAACATTATTAGAGTAGTAAAATAAACATTTCATAGTTTACAGTGCATTATATGCAGCCTACAAACAATAATCTATTATTTCACTTTTTTAACCTCATGTTAATCTTTATATGTTTACTATCTTCATGAAAACAGTTTGACAGAATTTTTGTTTCCCTATTTTTACAAGAAAAATCTATAAATATTATCGTAACATTACGTGTTACTCTCTAAAAGTACATTAAATTTCCTTTAAAAAGCAGAAAAATAACGTAATACCAAATTCCAAGCAATAACTGTAAATTTAATGTTAGATTTTTTTATTACAGAACATATCTGTAAAACAACAGGTATTTCACTGTACAGTATCATGAAAAAACTGAAAAATTCTGTAAAACAATAGAAAATTGCCTGTAAAATAATTTTTTTTTTTTTACAGTGTATAGTATAGTTCAAAAACACTGTATGTAGGGTTTACTATAAATTACTTTAGTAGTTTTTTTTAATGTTGGCTAACATAGCAAAACATCCATTAATTTTCACATTTATTATAATCAGTTATGATGTGGAAGTTTGAATACACAAATGTCTAAATCAATTACAGTGTTATTGCTACTGAAAAGTGAACATTTCCCTTTAAAACAGTCATACATACAGATACAGTACAAGGGTCTTAAAACATGTCTTTGCTTTCAGTTGCATTAAAATACATTTGCCAATGGTCAATTCTTATATCTTTTTACATACACACTTAATGTAGCTTCCCAACATCCTGTCCTAATTTAAAAGGGTTTTGAGAAACTAATTGAAAGTTTGTCTTCTTATGAAAGTCACTTTATTACTTTGCTGAATGATAAGGTGACTGTATTTCTGGCAGGCAGCCGTTTCCAGCTGGCGACCGCGTGACGTTTAATGGGAAGGAGTGCATTTGTGAGAAATGTACTCAGCCTGTGCCAGTCAACAGCACGGCTCCCCCACAGGCTGTGCACAGTGAGTTCTCTGTGTTTCTGCATTGCTATCCGCATTATATGTTATTTTGTCCTTCTGACAGACGCACACTGACTCATTCAATGACAGCTTTCATTAGTACACCATAACACTTTTGTCTCACTCTCTTGGCAGATTGCTGTGGATGTGGAAAGGAGTTTAAAAATGAGCAGTCTCTGGTGGCGCTGGACAAGCACTGGCACCTTGGCTGCTTCAAGTGCAAAGTGTGCAATAAAGTGCTTAATGCCGAATATATCAGCAAGTTAGTCCCACTCTCACTGTTCTCTGTGGATGGCTGATTGTGTGTGCTTTATTGATCTTAGTAATGTGTTGTGATGATCTGCAAGCCTGTCGAGCCCTCTGGAATGACTCAGCGTTATTGATGTGGTCAAAAATGAAAGGGTTCTCATAGCAAGCTGAGATTTGCCACCATTTCTGAGTTCAAGTGTAATGTGTGTTTATGCTCTGCAGGGATGGGATCCCCTACTGTGAGGCAGATTACCACGCCATGTTCGGCATCCAGTGTGAAACCTGCAAGAAATACATCACCGGAAAAGTACTTGAGGTTTGAAATAATTTTTACTATTTGGTAGATATTGTTAACATCGTCTCACGTCAACATGATAGTATGTAGAATCGAACTAGGTATTTCAGTCCAAGTTCAAAATATTGTCATTTTGTTCATGCCCCCCAACCTTTGCCAAAGAATGGCAAAGAGAGCGTTCTTGCAGGACCCACAGTGCGTCAGGATTCTTTGGATTCATCTTCAATGCCTCCTCCTTCATCTTACCCAACATGCTCAATAATGTTCATGTTTGGTGACTGTGCTGGCCAATTCTGATGCAAACAGAAATTGCCAGATTGATAAGACCAACAGGAGCGAGACAAAAGGGAAAAGTAGATTACATACAAAGTCAATGTAAACAGGTGAATTTCCCTCATTCAAGTCTTTCCATGCAAATTCAGATAATTCAACTTTAGAAGAAAAATTAGCTTGAGGGGAAAAACATTCTGTGAGTAAACTGGAGAGAGTGATGGGGTACTCTGTTTGGTCTCAACCCAGCATTTCACTGTAAACTGCCCAGCTAATGTTTACGTTTGTAATATTTATATTGTTTGCTAATTGGAAACTACATCGTGTGGATTTTATAGCTCTGGATCTGAATTCTCTTTTCAGAGACCTAATGTCCTTCAGAGGTCCGTGTTTAAGTGGCCTTATACATCTGGGCTCTATTTTATTGATCTTGGTGCAAAGTCTAAAGCGCATGGCGCAAAAGCATTAACGACGTGTCCGATTTAACTTTTGCTATTTTAGGGACGGAAAAATATGCTCTGCACCCCGGCGCATGGTCTAACAGGGTTGTGCTTATTCTCTTAATAAGTTGTGGGTGTGTTTTCACCATAACCTGCATTACACCAATCACATTTTCCATTCCCTTTAGGAGTCAGTTGCGTTGTGTCATGGCACGTTTGCTATTTACATAGTAAAATTAGTAAATGGAAAAACTGAACACTTCACCAGCGAGAAAACAATTAAACAGACCATCTGCAGCAAGGATAAAAAACGAACCTCTTTCATTCGGCCTCTTTACTTTCTCTTTATTTTACTCTTTACTCCTTTCGCTTTTTGGATAAGGAAACTGTGTTGTACACACTCCAGTGAAGACATCCATTAGCCTACATATTTAATTTAGTTTACTAAGTGCAAAGATTTGTTTCAAAACTATTTCTAAATTCAGCTCTATTTTCCAGCACATTAATAAATTAGCAATAAAAGAAAAAGTTATTTTCAAACACACGTACTATTCTTATGCACGATATGGTGATGCCAACGTCTCTAAAACCTGACACATGGACAAATCTAAACTTGTTTTATTAAAACAAATATAAATATGCATATAATAAATATGACTACTAAAAATAATAACATTATACAAATACAAATTGTCATGAATAAACTGTAAAAAGCCCTCCAAGGCATGAAGGTTGTGCTTTTTATATTTAAAATAATATTATTAAAATAAAAAAATAATAACATTTTAATCCCTTAATTTTTTTTTCATGTGTAAAGATATTTGTGTATTGCTGTACATCATGTGTGTATTAGGCAATGCGCTTAACTAACACGCTCTGTGCTGGACTTTTGACTAGCTTTTAGATGGTGCAGTCTATTTCAGTTTTTTTTAAAATAGCAATGCACCAACAATGCGCCGTAACACACCTCCTTTCTAGACCGGCACACCCATGAGTCCACAAAGTAGCGCAAATGGATTTGCTATTTAAACAACGTGGTGCAAAACGTAAAAATTAGGTTTGCGCTGTTCTGAAAATAGCAACAAATCTCATCATACACGACTTGCGCCTTATTGCACCAGGTGTATGATAGGACCCTCTCTATTTTCCATCAAGGCAACCCAGGGTGCTGAAATCTAATTTAATAAACAACCAGTGGCCGGTGTTACACAGACCATAACAAAAACAGATATTCCCCGTTGAAATGCACATATTTCAAGGAGAATAACTAAAACATTATTTTTCAGATAAACTAGTATATATACTAAGCATGTCTTTTAAATATCTTTTAAGTCCTCCATACACTTTCCTTTTACTGTTTTACTTCAAGTAAATTAAGTTATGAATACTATTTCATGTTGATTTTAGCTTTGTCACCCCCTAAAATGTGTTTTCTTAAATTTTCGCTTTGAGTGTGCATGAAAGGCTTTTATTCTCATTTGTGAGCTTTAGACTGGTACTCTATAATCCCAGTGGTCATGTTGGAGGAGGCAGAAGCTGAGTGGGTGCTTACAAAGAGAATCTCAGGCAGTCAATTCAGAACCCTTCTGAAGTCTAATTACAGTCCAGAACAATATATCTCCTCATATTGCATGTCCCGCTTAATACTGCCATTTTTGCTCACATGCTTTTGTTTGTACATGCAACATCTTTTTTATAGACAGCTATTGTGTTCCAACCTGACAAGGACCCCGTTGATGTATTTGTTCTTTCTATCTGCTAAGATTTCCATTAGGTAATCTTACAAATGGATAAATATTGCTTTTAATTGAACAGCTTATGTGTGTATTTCATCATTGACACATATAAACAAGGATCTACAGCGATCCACAGAATCTTCTCTGTGTTCCTCAGAGCTCTATAAATAAGTGTATCTGTGTGTGTTTATATGTGTGTGTCAGGAGTGACACGCTGTTTCTATAGCGACTGTCCCATTGGCTCCTCCACTTGCTCTTGGTAACCCTAAATTAGAACAAGTCACTGAGTGACATCATACCTTAGGATGGTAATTTTAACTAAACAGTTCCCGTGCCAAGAGCTTTCAGCAGATGTGAAATAAAAGAAGCCATGCAAAACTGCATCTTGGCATAAAGTTTTTGCCCTCAGCAACACTCAGGGCTAGTTGATACAGGTATCCTTATGTTAGCAACAATTAGCCCACCTTTCAGGAGTAATGCCAATTCACAAGCCTAGACAACGTCTGGGTACTGGGGTAATCAAATGTAAAGAGTTTTATTTGGTGTGGTGTGTATGAAGGATTTTTTTTAATGGTTTGATGTTATTTTGTGGAACTGTTCTTATGGAAAACGCCAAAGTTTACTCAGAACCACTTATTGAATGTTATGTATGAACCTGAAATGTCATGACATTTGATGTGGTAGGACTGTAACTGTTTTCAAAGAGGATAGGCATTGAAATAGAGGAGTGATGCACTAGATTTCCAATGCAGGTAATTATGACGCACTTGAAATGACATAAATCAGCAGCTTGACTGAAGAAGTGTGACAGCATGCTGAAAATGTATGATTATAGAAGCGTCCTTTAGGACTAAATGAAGGTTAATAACATATGCTTGACATTAATCTTAGGCAATTAAATAAGGTGAATGAGATTTTAAAAGTATGCACTCTCTCAGTGTGGATAGACCACTCTAAAAATGTTTATCCTTTACTAACATGCAGGGCTGTTTCCCAAAAGCATCGTATGCCTTAATAGATTTTAAAAATGATTTGACTGATCTCAAATTTTATGTTCTCTTTCCCAAAAACATTGTAACTAAAGTAGTATCTGAAAATTGTTGTAGATATATGAGTACTTTGGAGGGGTTTTGTAAGAATATAAAGTTATGAGGTCACATGCAGGGTAATTGGCAGATTTTCATTCATTCATTCATTCATTCGTTTTCCTTCGGCATAGTCCCTGATTTACCAGGGGTTGCCACAGCGAAATGAACCGCAAACTACTCTGGCACATGTTTTATGCAATGGATGCTCTTCCAACTGCAATACAGCACCAGGCTGGGAAAGAGGTTTTTTTTTTACTCTTTTATTAATTAATTTTCTTTTTTAGCTTGGTCACTTTATTAATCTGGGGTCACCACAGTGGAATGAACAGCCAACTTATCCAGCATATGTTTTGTGCAGCAGATGCCCTTTCAGCTGCAACCAATCACTGGGAAACATCCATACACATTCAATTCACACACATACACTAGTCAATTTTAGCATACCCAATTCACCTACAGTGATGTCTTTGGACTTAAGGGGAAAACCGGAGCACCCGGATGAAACCTATGCAAACACGGGGAGAACATGCTAACTCCACACAGAAATGCCAATTGACCCAGCCCAGCCGAGGCTCAAAAAAAGCGACCTTCTTGCTGTGAAGTAACTGGTACCCACTGCCCCATCGCGTCACTCAGTTTTTTACTCTTTCCCTATGAAATTATAAATTAAATCCTTAAAAGTAATTTGCCAGTCTTTCAAATTAATTATATTTCTACATAATTGTTTTAATTGCTTATACATAATTGTTATAAGATGACGATTATTGGGTTAGACGTATAAGATGCAGTTCCACATAAGATTAAATTTTAGCACCTTGAAAATGGAAAGCAAACCTAAGTAGAAGCGACTTCTGAGTAGCACATAGAATGAGTTTCCAACATTCCTAAAAATGCACTCTGAAATGTAAACTTGCATGTAGAGAACACTCTTAGGAACTAAGATACATCATTTTCCAGGAAATTCAGCCCTGGAGAACATTCACGACATATTTTAAAAAGTACAATACAAAGTTACAATCTGACTGAGCTAAAAGTGTTTTCACGCATGGCAGGTTGAATAACAGTGAACGCTGCAATGTTAACCTTGGTGTGCAGATGGAGCTTTAGAGAGGTTTAACTGAAATGTGAATGCAGCACAGACTAAGACAACTGAATAAACCAAAAACAGGACATGAAATAGCAAGATATGACCATCAAAAAGACAGAATGTTCAATCATACTTTTTTATCATAATAGGGGCTTTTAGGATTTAGCTTCTCCTTGCAGCATTTTTTTTTTTTTTTTTTTTGCATGCAAAGAAGGAAGTCTTGCTCATTTAATAAACTCTTTAAGAACTGACAGAATTCTTATCACATATTTATGAGTGAGTTCAGCCCAAGACACAGCATTTTTTGATATGTTCAGTAAGATTTGTAGGAAAATATATAAAACAAAAATGTTTATATGTATGTTTAGGTTCTGTTTTACACGTAAATGCTAAGTGAACCAGGCCTAGATGTGTTATTTAATATTAATAGTTTTTAGTTAGAATGACATGAACTAAGAGAACTACAGTATAAAGTAATACTAATGTAAGTATTTCTCCAAGTAACAGTGCAATGATTGACAGATTGATTAATGATACACTAGAGAAAATATAAGACATCAACTCAATAGTTTTTGTATTGTTTTACAAATATTAGTGCATCCGTATTCATTTACAGCATATTATCTCCCTGGAAAAATAGCTGAAACCATACATTTAGATGAACAGCAACTTGTCACTTGGCCAGCAACATAAAGGACTGTGGTTACACTACACTTTCCCATCAAATAGTGCAAGGTAATACGTTGTGTGTATATTACCAGATTAAAATGCAACTTTTAGGGGTAAAAAAAAGCCCATTTTGAAAACTATATAGTGACAAGCTGTTGTACCCTGAATGCACAACATACTAATTGACATACTAAGAATGAGATAATAAAAAATAGTTATTTTTTTAATTAGATATTAGATTTTTAATTAGATTTTGCACTTGAAAAATGTATGTCTAAAAGGTAATCATATTCTCTTGTGTTATAGAATGATAATGAGATTTCTTTCAGAGCAATACAGAAGCAATACTAAAGGCCATTTGAAGATAATGGTTTGGTTAAAGTTTAAACATAAAATGAATGTGACCATAAGAAGTAAAGTGTGGAATCTTTGCATCAACAGCTCATCAGTCTGTGTTCCCTCTACTGTACAAACACTGCTAGTGCAGATGTTTTTTCAGCTTATGCATAATGCAACTGCATCACAGCTGCATTTCAGCCACCACATTACATAACAGCAGTTATTTGGAAAAATGAATAAATGAATTGCTTTGTTAGGAGGATGAAAATGAAATTATGAAATAACTTTGAGTTATGTTTTGTGTACAAATGAATTAATAAGTTATTTCTTTATGCCTTCAACTGGGTTGAATGTCTGATGCGAGCTCTCTTTGTTTATTGTTTGCAGGCTGGAGAAAAACACTACCATCCCACATGTGCCAGATGTGCTCGCTGTGACCAGATGTTTGGGGAAGGGGAGGAGATGTACCTGCAAGGTAGCTAAACGAAATTCAGTCAAATCCACATATTGAAAGTTTTTGGATATGTATCTGATGCAGAATTCTTAATGTGACAATAAAACACTCTTTTATATATAAATATAATATTTATAAACTCAGTGGAACAAATTATGAAAGCTATCATTATAGAATATCTTGTCTAGATACAAATAAAGCCCTTATTAGTGAATGTTCACAGTTATTTTGTTTAATTGATGGAGCCTTATAGTCTCATGAGTGACTTTGTCTCTGTGTCTCCCAAATCTGCTTGTAATGTTTAAAAATATAAAGAACATTGATTTGTTGTGGAGATGCATTTTGATTTGATGATTTGTGTCAGACTGCTGCAGGAAACAGTTGTTTTCTGTACAGTTCTCTAAATTTAGACCATAAAACTAGACAGGCAGGCAGTTCAGACACAGTTGAGGACTACTGATGAGGATAAATGAATCATATGTATCAGTGATTTTCATTTAATGTACACTGAAAAAATGTAAACTACTGTGTATTTTATTCAAATACATTTTTATATTGGGTTAAGTGAAATTTATGGTTTCTGATTATAACCGATTTTATTCAATTAACTTTCAGTAAGAAACGAACCCCCTTATGCCAAGTTCAGACTGCATGATTTTCAAAGTACTCGTGTCAAAGATGTTTTCACACTGAATGACTATCTAGGCTAGCGCTTTCTCACTGCTTTGTTTACACTGCAAGATGGATCAGTGACAGGGGGTTTCACACTGCATGACTTTAGAATAGGAAGAATCGCAGCCAACTTTGTCCAAACTACGTCTCACAACCACAAACGCACAGTAAATTTTTTGTCTTTAACTACATAATAAGAAACAAGCCTTTAATGGGGTAGAAAATGTACATATTTGCTCACCTTGGCTTGAAGGGAATTAGCAATTTCTCCTCAACTTTTTTCTTTTTTGACCCGGTTGTGTTATTGCTCACTTGACACTTCAAACAGACATGGGTGCTCCTGCAGAAAGAAAGTTTTTCTTTCATTTCTTGGGTCCAAATAAACTGAAAATAAGGTTTTTAACTTCTCCCCCAACCTCCTGCTGGCCTGCAGATATCTATACTAGTGGGTGCTGCTTTCTCATTGGCTATAGGTAAATGGCTGATGTTATTTTCAGTCAAAACACATTTCACACGGCATGATGTGAATCACCGACAGCTCCAAATATTTAGCATGCCAAAGATCTAAGAGGCATTAGCGACTCGTCGGCAATTCTCTCAGATTGCATCTTTAATAGCTCACATTGTGTGATTATCACTCGCGTCGCGTGAACGAGCACTGATATACCTGCGAGTTCAGGCATTTGTCTCTAATTTCTCAAAACCTGTTGGTGGGTCAAATATAGAGCTAAAATCATGCAGTCTGAACTTGGCATAAGTGAACTTAAAAACATTAATTTTTCTCAAAGAAATATTTGACTTTTAACCAGGAGTTTTCATCTCATGTGACCACATGAAAAAGGTACATTTATGTGCTTCAAGTTTTTATGTATTTCTAATATTTCTAATTTATAGCCATACTGAAAGCACCAGCAGGTAGTTTACCTCATTATTAAAAAAAACTAGCAATAGTATACCCTTAGTTTAGTCTAAAGAACAATTTTACTTGCATTTTAATTTCAAGTCGAACCAAAGTAATTCAATTAAATAATCATGGACTAAAATTAATATTTACCTTTTGAGTCCATGTATTTTTCCTAAATATTTTGATCAATGCCAAAATACATTTTTCATTTTCAACCAAGTCAAAACTATAACTTGAGTTGAACTTTAATTTAGCTGTAACAAATTACAGTAATTAAAAAAAAATTGGTTCAAAGTGAATTTTCTCAGTGTACTGACACAAACAGGACCGCATAGTTTTATTTTGCATTTTAGGAGCAAAAGCAACAGTCAGTCAGGTGGAGCTAAAAGCTCATATAAAAGCTGTAAATTCCATAGTTGATCCGTAATAAATTATAACGCAGAAAATACACAGTTGGCATTTATTTTTTGTTTTCTGTTGTGTTCTATCTCCAACCTTGGAGTAATTCAGTGTTTTGTTAGACTCTGCACAGTGATTTAGCAAACAAACCCACTGCACTGCAGTTCGTTTACAGAGATTTATAGTCAGATGTTGACGCTGCTTTGCATTTAAGAAGCAGAATCAGTTAGAAGCCTTTTTTTCGATCGAGCTGAAATAAAATGAAAGACTGCTGACTCACTTGAGAGGTGAATTATGGAGTTACTTAGTTTATGAGTGCCAGTTTATACTGCGGTTTTTATGAACATGCAAATTCCTCAGAAAGAAAAGTCATGTCAAAAGAGAAAACTAAGAGAAATAAAGAGAAAATTTTAGTGCGCTCAAATTATCTTTCATCATGTCTAAAATCTACATAATTTGTAGTCGTGGTACTATTTTTTAAAATGTTTGTTTAATTTATCATTACCTTGTTTGGTTAAATAATTTATTTATTTATATGTTGATTGTTAAAAAAAATCTAAATAATATTTAAAACAAAGACATTAATTATTTTTTATACATAATTATTACAAGGCTCTCTGGAATACTTGATTCTGATTGGTTAATCATGACATTCCATATATGGTATATGGTATTCCCAGAAAACAACCACTGAAACTAATAGCAGGCTCATCCGGGTACTATGAATAATTTTGACTGCAATTGAATTAATTTCCATATTAACTTATATGCTTTATGATATGATTATCTCTCATGCTGCTGTTCTTGACTGTTTGGCGCCATCTTGTGACTCAATAAGTAGGTTAGTGTAGGCTGCATTCAGCCGTTTTTGTTTCTATCAGATTGATAAATATGTTAATAAGTGAATAAAGCTCAGACAAAAGAGTTGCATCCGATTATTTAGTTTTGTGACAATTCGCTATGTAACAGGGAGGGTAATGTACATCTAGTTAGTGGTTTTTGCAGAATAAAGCCCTGCAGACTTATACAACAAAGTCTGAGAAGCCTTTACTCTGCTAGAACAACCGCCTAGAGGTACATTATCCCTTACTTACACTTAAATTTGACCATTGAGGTGTCAACTTTATTTTTTGTCCTTCTTTTTTTACAGGTTCTACCATCTGGCATCCTCCTTGCAGACAGGCAGCGCGTATGGAGGAGAAGAGCAAGGTAAAACTAACTGTAAAACTATCAGGTGATACAATACAAATGCCAAATTTTTGTATTTTAGTGAGCCTAGATGATATTGGTGAGATGATAGTATAATTACAGTCAAGGTGCGATTTAAAAAGGGGGGTTTGACACTCCTAATTAACGATTGATGCTCGTGAAGGATGTCAAGCAATATGTGTGGGTGATCTGCCCTTTAGATGGTAGATGAATGTTTGCACTGAACTATATTGTTTAGAAATAATAAAAACATACATTTGATCGTGCCTCCATGATGGTTCATATCAGCTCATGATCAACTCCAGTTGTCTGAATCTGGCAGATCGAGCACATATTTGTGTAATACTTAACCATGCCTTATTGAATAAAAAATATATATAATTAATTTTTTAATATATATTTAATTTACTTTATAAATATTTTTTTCTTTAAAAACAATGTATAAAATGTATAGTTTTACTAGTTACATTAAAATATAAAATATTTTATCCTTCACAATCTGCTCTCTGTAGTGACATGCAACTGCTCTGTGTAAATTGTGTTCAGTACTTGTTTTACATGGTTGAACTATATTTGTTATTCCTGAAGTGAATCGGAAACTAAAACAATGCAAATAGTCTATAAATGCTGTCAGCTGATCTAGTTCATTCTAAGGTACTTTATATGATACTGTTTTCAGCTAAAGCTTAAAATATTGTGCGTTTTTTTTATAATGGTTTGTGAACTGCATGATTAAAGCATTTAGAATATTGACAGCCCCAAAAATTTGCCAGCAGCACATGTGTCTGATGTTACAAACTAGAAACGAGCTCTGGTTTTAGGTTGCTCACATGATCAAAAACACATTATGCAAAGTCATTTAACAGGAAATCCAGCTACATTAGTTGCATACCTTAAACTAAGGTGATATGCAGTATGTAACAAGCCTTTCCCTGCAGAAACAGGTGCGGATTCAGCTCAGTGATCTCCATTCTCATGTACCTGAGCAGGTTTGTGTCATGCGGCCCTTTCCCTCTGCATGGGCTTTACCTCCCGACCCGCTTCCAGCTTTAATAGACGCTCGCTGGGGTCCAGAAAGGGCCGCCCCGTAGGCTAATGCCACACCTAGCCAGTAGAAATCTGGAAAGAAAGATTGTATGGTCAAATATTTAAACTGAGTTTAGAAAAGAAATGATTCAACCATTAATGCATTACTAATAATCCAGCAAAACATTTGTAATATTGTTCAGGCTCTCTGTAGAGTTTCTGTTTGTTTGGACTGCTTGATGTTTGATGGTAATACAATGACCTTAATTATTAAAAGAAAAAATTATGTGAAATATTTACAAATATTTATTTCAGAGTATATATATTTTAGAGAATATACATAACTAAAAGACATTTAATAAAATAAATATATTAATAAATCTGACCATGATGTTAAGATTATGCTTAAAATAAGAACAAAATATGTGTCAAAACAGTATTTTTTTCTTTTACAAATACTTTATATTATACTGCAGTGTTTATACTGTATATTTTTTGCAGGAAAACAAGACAAATAAAAAAAAAACAATTGCAGTTAAAATTCAACATAAAAAACATCAATCCATTTAGCAAAGAACTTTTTTTACCCTTCTTTTTAAAAATATTTTGTGTTGAGTATTAATTCATCCAGGGTTACAGTAAAAAGTCAATAAAACGCGCTAGAATTTCTAGTCTTTTTGGTTGCTGATCTCCTATGGTTTAATGTCTTTTTATGTCTTTACTTTTTTATATTTCTCACCTTGTTTTATTTATTGCAGGTGACGCGAACCTCCTCTGAGAGCATCACTTCTGCTCCAGCCTCCAGCGCCTCAGGCTCCCCTAGCAGAGTTATCTATGTAAGAGCACATCTGGAATTAATCCCATAATGCATCACTCTTCATTTGCTCAAAATCACCACCAGTGGGCACCAACACACAAGGCTACAAATGACTGTTGCTCTTTCTTTAGGCAAAACTGGGTGATGAACTTCTGGATTATAAGGATCTGGCTGCTCTTCCTAAAATCAAAGCCATCTACAACATTGACAGGCCTGACATGCTTTCATACTCGCCCTATGTGAGCTATCCTGTGGAGGACAGGACTTTTGGAGAGGTACAAACACACATGGAAGTAACATATACTGTATATCCCCAGTATTTGATGTTGCTTATTTTATACATCTTTTTCTCTTTATAGGTGATTTATACTAAAATTATTGACTCGAGAAAGGGCTTTAGCATGTACTCTTATGTTACAGCTGTGCCATTTTCAGTCTAATCATCTTTACTCATCATCCAGAATCATTCCATTTGGTTTCAGCAAAAAAAGCACATGCCAATTTTCCACTATTGTCTCAAATGGTTCTCTTTGCTTAACTGTTTTATTGGTCCAGTCAGCACAGATACAGTTTCATTTTTCAGGTTGTACTAATGTTGGACTGACAGTTTCAGTATAGAATTTCTATGTTAAGCTGCTTTAACACAATCTACACTGTAAGAAATAAAGATGAGTTGAGTTAAATAATGAAATACAAATGAATCAGTCATTGCCTTGATAAAGCAAGTGTATTGTAAACAACAATATTGAGAATTATTGTATGTATATATATATATATATATATATATATATATATATATATATATATTTTTTTTTTTTTTTTTTTTCTAATATTTTAACAGCAATTGCAATGTAATTTGTATCAATTAGGAAGTCCCATGTATCAATTAGGAAGTCTCTGTGACTGCTTTAATCAACAATAAAAAATTGATTTTAGCCATTTACATTACATTGCTATAGAAAGCCAGTGTTAGTTAAATTATTAATACAAAAAATACTTTTTATTAGTTATAGATCAGTATATAGACTGAAGCAAGCAAGCCTCACAATTGTCGAGCGCACCATTACTTACAGCCAATCAAGCTGTTTGGAGTTGCGCTATGATTTTCAGATCCCCTTTTTTTCACTTTTTAACCCAGAGCCTACCCTAGATTGCTTTTATCGGATCACAAATTGTACAAAAGAAAAGTCAAATAAAAGTATGTACTGCTATCTTTATGATTGGGTGGGTAAGACAGATGTTTGGGTGGGCTCAGCCCACCCCTGCCCCTGCCTAGAATTGACATGATAGCACCACTTATAGGGAGATAGCAACTTTAGCAAGCTATTAGGAATGTGCATGTCAAATTTCATGAAGATCAGAGTATTCATTTATGGGTCATAAATGAACATTTGGTATATTTGGCAATGGCCGCTTTATAAATGACCCTTTAATAGGTGTATACTGTATTTGTACAACACTGGATTCGTTGAGACTAAGCAAAAAAACCTAGAACTAGTTTGCAAGAGTATTTTTTTTCCAAAAAATGCAAAATAATAGAAATGTTTGCAAGGTTAGTGGCCTGATCTTATGCTTGCTGAACTTGAGCCAATGGATTCCAAAGAAATAAGGCACTTGAGACAGCAGTTTAGGAGTTATGAGCGATTTTTGTGTTTTGTGCCACTGTGCTTCCATCAGACCGATTGGAGCAAGCCTTGGTGACATGATAGACGAAAAGGGTATAACAGCACTATTTGCCTAAATTGTCTCTATGACTTACAGTTTTAAATCAGAAGAGTTTAAGAGCATAAAGGAGACCTTTGGACTTTTCTAAGAATTACTTGTAGAATAGTGTTTCAGTGCTACACTTGAACCCTTAATAAATATTTGAATATTCCAAATAGCCAGCTATGGAGAATGGCAGTTTGGCAACAGAATGTAGACATCACACGCACACGCTCTACTAGCACGGATTGGGATGTTATCTAACTGTGCCTAGAAGATTGGGCTGAGAATGGTTTGTATATATGCCACACCATAGCAGGCTCAGGTGCAAATAAAACAGGAACCATAACTAACTCTTCTTAGAACCAATCGGCACTATAGTGGAAAAGCAGCTATTGTTTTACTAATTCATTAAAGCATTGAGTTTCAGTAAATCTCATTTTTCATTAACATACCGATCACTGCATTTCAGTTCATCTTACTCATTTGCTTTCTTTGTTTACAGTCACCCCAGCAACTAACGCCTACTCCAACTGAGGTACAGTAGAGCTGACATGAAGGAACAGGCCGTGTTATTGTTTCATTGGGTCTCGTTCACTAATCATGTCAGTCAAATGGTGTACTTGTATGCACAGGAAAAGTCTTTTCTGATATTTATTTAATTTTATGCATTATTTAAGTTATTTTACTATACTTATTGTTATTTATAGACTATAGGTGTACTACTGGGTGGTTTTTATAGGAGGGAAGTCCCTTTCTGAAATTGTAGGTGTACTGCAAATTTCAATCTTTGGACCAATGTATTGCTTTATTGTTTTTAAGTTTGTTTTTAATCACAATAAACAAACTTGTTACATGATGGACCAGATCAACTAGTTAAAAACACAAGCAAGATTAATGAACGAGGCCTTGTTTTCCTCATAATTTGTGAATAGTTGTGGTTTAGTGAACTGCGCGGTATTGTGTGTTGTTTTTCTCCATGTTTCTCCATGTTTGAAACTCTGTGGTGTCAGACTCTCAATGATCAGCCTATTACAAGTTAGGACTGATTATTGTAAACTGGTTGCATCTGTGTTTCTTTTCCAGCTTTGTAGTCGCCTCCTATGTGTAGTCTCCACTGCCATAGTGATCACCCTTTTACTAGACTAAATGAAGATTTTGATTTTATTGAATATTGTCTGTTTGCTTGTAGGGAGATGGGGAAAAGTCTCCCCGTCAGAGGAGGCCCTCGAGCCCCAGCTCCAACAGCTCTTTAGGAGGCTATGGTCGCTATACGCCTTCCCGCTCACCACAGACCTACAGCAGACCAGGTATCCCTCCACATATGCAGTTATCTATAAGTATTTTAAATGATTTGAATGTAATGGAGCTGTAAACATTATCATTTTCCTCATACACTATTATTTAAAATGTTGCACTGTGTATATTTATCAGTTATATACTGTGTGTTTTTATATATTTACACTACCATTCAAAAGTTCAGAAAGGTTTTACTGGTCAGTAAAAAAAATAAAAAAATAAAAAAATAAATAATAATAATAATAATAGTAATTTAATTATGTAGGGTCACCGATCGAAATGTAACATCTTTTAAATGCAGTGTTTAGATTTGTGAAGATTCTTTGCTCAGAGATTTTGGAACAAGATTTACAGACTATGCAAAGCATATTTTGACAATTCTTGTGATCTCTGGGAGCAGCTTCTATAGCACTATAGCACTATAAGCAATAGCTCTACCATCAAACATCATGAATCCTGAATTGTTAGATTGAAAAAAATGTCTTATTCTCTGTCAGAGAACAATTATAGTAAACACTTCTATATGGATCCTATTTCAGGAGATGACAAATGATCCATACAGTTGTATCGGACGTAGGGCAGATTCATTTTAAACACATAGTTTAAATCTCCTGAGATTGTAGGTGTACCACAAAGTTCAGTCCTTGGACCAATCCTGCTTTGTTCTTTCTAGTTTATTTAAATATACAGTAGAATATAACAACAAGACATAACAATAACATAATTTGGCATGAATAGATTAACTTGGTACTTGATGAATCATAGTTAGTAATCAAAAATACACTCAAGATTAATTACTGGGATCTTGTTTTTCTCACATTTTGTAAATAGGGGTTTAGTGGCTTGGGGCCGGTTGCACCAGAAGTGCGCAACTTAAAACGTAGCCTAGTTGTTACTTAAATGGGCTTAAAAGTAATGTCTTAAAAATCTAAATCTAAATTTTAGTCCTTAAAATTCTTAAATTTTCTGAAATATTGTGTTGTAGGTCTTAAATCTTTTTTAAACAGGTCTTAATTTTTCTTTGTTCATGTATTGCTACCCAATCTGGCCAAAATCCATACAATTACCAACAATCCATCTCAATGAAACTTTAAACTTTTTATTAAAATTTGTATTTTAACTCTATTTATCATAATGGTTTAATTATTTTCCTAACAAAAACATTTGTTTAAAAGTGCTCCATGTATTTACTGCTGAGAACACCGACATGGACAGATTGTTGTGCATAGATTTAGTTTTTTATAGTTTTTTTTAAATACTTTTAAAACATTTGTTCATTTTTTTAAAAAGAAAGTTTATGTTGGTGCATAGGTGTATAGATAAAAGTAGAGATTGCTTGTTGTTAAACAATATTTAAATCATTTAGCCAAAACATATCTAAAATATTAACTTTTTTATAATTAAGATATTATTGTATTAGTGAATGTATGAAATTATAATATATTTTTTGATAGGGCAAATAATAATATATTCCAAAAATCCTTAGTGTTTAACCCTTTATAAGTCTAAAATTTAATTCATAATGGTAATAAAATGTCTTAAAAGGTCTTAAATTTAACTTGGTGAAACCTGCAGAAACCCTGATTAGTTGCAGGATTTTAAAGCAGTTTAATGATTTGAATGTTTTTTTATTGGATATTACATCTTTTAATGTGACTAAACATGATTTTACAGAGAGATTACGACCTACTAACTACGGTTTACCTCAAGCCTGGTTTATACTCGACGCGTCTGCTAGTTCGTTTGAGTGTGCACTGCGAATTTGACGTCATCGATGTGTTTTGAGGAGGAACGATTTGGGTGCGCGCAACATGATTTTGGCTGGCAGAGCACATGATTTTTTTTTTTGAGACTCGAGCGAACAGTTCACGCGGCGCCGCGTTTCTGTTGAGTTAAATATGAATCACAACTATGACTGTACAGACATCTTTATGATCCGTGATTATAGGGATAACCAGATCATCAATCTTTGCTAGAAATTGCAACAGTAGGAAGGAGGAAAGTTTTTTGTTAAAAGGTTTGGAAAAACCTGAGGGATAAGTTTGTAAAAGCCAAAAGAGGTCATGGCAAAAGTGAAGACCAGGGTACAATTACAGAAATAAGTTTTTCCACCTGTCATAGGTTTAATACTGATCTATATATTACAATTTTGAATTTAAAACAATTTAATAGTTACAAAACTAAAATTAAGGAACAAATTATTTCTTTGATAACTGGACAGGAATATTTGAACCTATCTGTTTACAATATACTGATGGCCTGTTTTTCTAGGCTTTATTTTTTTATGGAGCATCAGAATTTTTTAGTAAGTGTACTTTTTTGCTTTTATTCTTGCCATAATAAAAATATATTTGTAGAGCAACCCATATTCCGTTGTCCTCAATATTTTAATAAACTTTAATGGGTAAAACTGTCAGAGATTTAAACAAAAGCAAGTGATGCATCAAAGTTTGATTTAAAAACATCTTAAATGGTTATAAAAATCCTTATAATGATTAAAATAATTTATAAAAATAATATAAATAATTAGTTTAAAAATCTTGAACAATATTAATGAAATGAAGTAGTTCTGGAAACTGACAATATGGTCAGTTTTTTTTTACTGCCCCCTGTCGTTTTAAATAATATCACAACTGCGAACGTGTCAAGTATAAAAGCCTCGAGGTGCATGCACAGTCAGCAGAGGTGTGCAATGCAGTGCCAGGCGAAAGTATAAGTATGTGGTGCAACCGAAGTAAAAACAACTTTAGTCATAAACTAGCTAGTAATAACTCAGCCACTAGTGTGGACTTAACATTCCAGTTTAAGAAAGAACTTACGAACAGCTGGTGTAACCCTGCCTGCGCATTATTATGTGTTACAGTAGCCTATATATTGACAGTAAAATTAATAACTGTAAAAAAAACTAAAACTTACAATGTGATTTTTGAATTTCAAGTCTCAAAATTATTTTTTTAAAAGCTTGTGAGACACTGAACTGGAGTAGTGTCTGCTGAAACTGGTTTTTATTTTATGAACATTGGTTTTCATGCGCTTTCTTTTTAAAAGTAAAATCTCAGCCCCCCTAAACATTTGAATGGTAGTGTATGTTTATTAAAGCAGAACACAAACTCATATTGTGCTGCATACTAATAAGAATCGTTATGAAACATTCCAAATCATTTATTCAGTCTGAAAAGCAACAGAGTTAAAGCATTAAAACTGATTTGATGCAGAAATTTAGAAACAAAGACATTCACAAATCATTTAGTTCTTAGTATAGTTGCTGATGTTATATTACTTCTATTCTTCCCTGGACCAACTGGGCCTCTTGCTTAGACCAGTATCTGAGCATCAAATACACCACCCAGCCAGAAAATTCCCACTTGCTCTCTGTACCAACCTCGGGGAGGAGTAGTGCCCATGGTAGTGCCAGAGGCTCCTCCCCGCTGCCTCTGTACAACAGCAGTGGTAGAAACACACCCCAGGCAGCCCTGCTTCTCAACCCCACTACTCTGGCTTTACTCCAGCAGCACAACTACATCCCTTACTTCAGAGGTACCACAGCTTTGCCTGCAGGCCTTTGCCAGTACCAATTTATCACAAACTGCACTTAACTGTGTGCTTGGATTTGATTGGTACAAGATTTACCCCTGCCGGGCAATATTAATAATGAACGAGTGCAAAAGTGAAAAAGCTGTATAAGAATTTGAGTTACACTAATGTGCATGAAGTTCCTGCCGTTGGTATTAAATTGCAACACAAATGAAGCATGGATCAAGCCTAATAATTCAGAGTTTAATAACTGTTTGCATTCAGTCTGAAGGACTAGTGAATTGCAGACATGAAATTACTACCCTATCCTTCATCCACCTTTCCTGAACAGGAATTGAGACAGGATTCAGACAGGAAGCAAAGTCTGAAAGTAGGCCTAGGACAGCCCTGCACCTCAATTTGCCTTCTCACGGTAAACCCTAAAAACCAGATTCTCTTTCACTGTGTATCACCGGTCTATTACAGTGATGTGAGGTTGTAGGTGTGCCACAAGGTTCAGTCCTTGGACCAATCCATTGATATGCTTGCTGGTTTTGTCTATATAAAGTTTGTATGTCCAATGCATGGAGAATCAGTGGATATATTCATTAAATTTTAGCTGAAACTGTAATTTTATGCCCATGTTACATGTAAACGTTGGTGGTGAGCATCAGTATGCATTTATTTGTTGTACTGTAGTTGATGTTGTGTTTTGTTTGGTAAGGTGATTTTATTTACCATAGGTTTAATATTTAAAGTAACTGTATGTTTGTGTTAGTGTTACCATTTACTTTGTGGTTCTCATTTCTCAGTTTTTAGCATTTATTCAAGTGTTTTATTTAACCTAACATATATATTCAGGCAGGCAGGAGTTCAAAGGTCTGAGACCATTAATCAAAATGTAGTGAAGTATATTGTGTGTATAGTACATTCTATATTTTACATGTTGATATACAGTTAGGTCCATAAATATTTGGACATCGACACAATTCTAACATTTTTGGCTTTATATAATTGCAGAGTGTCATCTTTAGGTTAAGGGTGTTTACATCCAAATCAGGTGAATGGTGTGGGAATTACACAAGTTTGCATATGTGCCTCCCACTTGTAAAGGGTCCAAAAGTACAGAGTTATAAATCAAGCTTTAACTTTTTATTTCTTGGTTGCCAATCCTTTGCAGTCAATTACAGCCTGAAGTCTGTAACTCATTTCATTTCAAATCCATTGTGTTGGTGTATAGAGCCAAAAATGTTAGGCTTGTGTCGATATCCAAATATTTAGGGACCTATACAGTATCTGGAACTGGACCTGGAACTCTATCTATATTTTACTGGAGAACAAGAATAGAAAACTCTTTATATTTACTGCTTATAAATCAGGATACAGATTTAGGTTTTGTGGTTTCTCTGCAAGAATTTGAGAGAACGGGAACTCAGTAAAGTTCGCAGGAGAAGATTAAAGGGGTAAATAGTTGAGCTGTAATTTCGGGTTGGTTTGCCAGGCACAGTGGCATAAACTAGGGCCTTGTGCAGTTCCAGGCAACCCTTTAATGCAGCATGAAAGTACATTGAGGTTGTGTTTGGAGTGTGCCGTTTATGATTCAGTTAGCTGTCTAATTGACTTTTCATGGTGAAGGAGCCACAAAAGAAAAAATCGGCTCTTCATTACAAATGCAAAACCTTGATCTTGCCTTGATCTTCCCATATCACCATCTGAGGCTAAATGAAGATTGAAGACAGAAAATACATGGTGCATTACACCCAGCGGATTCAAAAGGGATGCACAATCCATAAAATAGTATTTTATTGAGCTATGGGGAGCATTGAGACCTTCATTCTCCATGGTGTGCTCCATCGTTGTGATTTGTGATGTTTGGTGTATTTTATGACAATGTCCTGCTCCCCCAGCTCTAGATGAGTAAAAGAATTTTCCTTGATACTGGGGGAAATTTTACTAACAGCACTGAGTGTTTAATGTGTGTTAAATGGTGTGTGCATGTGTCTGAAGGACAGCTGCAAGTGTGTGTGAAGGAAAGAAAAGAAAAAGGAGACAGAGAACGAAAATGAGAGAATTAGATGTATATGTTTTTTATTTTTCACCATTATTAGGACCTAATTTACTAAAAAGTGCAAATTAGTGCAAATTCACAATATTTAGCTGACTATATTTTCCAGTGATGGGTTGCGGCTGGAAGGGCATCCACATGCTATATAAGTTGGCGGTTCATTCCGCTGTGGCAATCCCAGATTGATAAAGGGACTAAGCCGAAAAGAAAATAAATGAATGAATGAATGAATGAATGAATGAATGAATGAATGAATGAATAGCTGACCATAATTCACAATCTTAAGCTGATTTAGCTGATATGTATTTATGTTGGTACAGTACATTTACTGGTTTACTGTATATCTGTCATACAATAAAGGCCTTAAAATACTAGGCCATTGGAATTCGTCAGGCTGTCGTTCAGTGTCAGTTTGGCTAGTTGGTTTTATGTGTTCCACACATCACCTCTTGCCAGGTTAACGCCACATGAAGTTGGCCTGATTCATCATTGGCTGTCGGCTGAAAAGAGTTCTGATTGGCTATTTAGCAATGAATCATTGTGCAAGAACAAAAAAATTTAAACAATGTAACCAAGAAAACATTTCAAGTCAAGAGGGAACACAGAGGAGCTAGCTGTAATTTCACTACATTTTTTTATATTTGCAAATAATATGAATTATTAGCTTATCAGACATATTTGCATGATCAAATCCCTCTGTGGTGAGTGACAATTACTGTGAAAATGGTAAGCCTACTAAATGCTGTTTTTTATGCATTTTCTGTGTACATATTCTCTTCCAGTTTCCCTGAGAATGAGAAAACACACATTTCAGTCATTTCAGTCTTCTGCCGTCTGTTTGGTGTTTTCACAGGCAGCTTTTTGGGCCAGACTGGACCAACCGCAAGTCGATAACACAGTTGGTTTTGTTTGTGCTAGTTATTTGGTGTTGGCTTGATATGTCCCGGCCCTAAGACCATCAGTAGGTATCGTTGTTCTAGAGGGAATATTTAACCAAAGTTTGAAATAATACAAACTTAGGCCATCAAATACATACAGTAGGTGCCTTTTTGCTTTTAGTATTGCATTGAAGTAAATAAAACTGTGGTTCTTGATGATTTAAACAAGCGAGTAACTTTGGTTTGAGAAGTTTGACACATAAGTGGAAGTCTTTTATCTTTTTTTTTTTTTAAATAGATTAATTGTTTTCATTTTTAACTTTTCAGTTCCATCAAAATGTTTCAAAAGTAACCCAGCTATACTAAATGTATTTATGATTTATTTAGATTGTTTTATTATTATCGAAAGTATGCATTCATTTTTATAAAATATCCAAGTGGAAACACCAAACTCATATGTGGAAGTGAAAAATAAGGTATGGCTATTAGCTGAGGGACAAAAGTGCCAGAGTTACTTTTGTCCAACAGGAACTCTTGCCATTTGAACCTATTTACTTTCAAACTAAAAAAACTCTGCAAACAATGCAAACTTAATGACGTGTTAGAGCAGTAAATAACCTGTAGATTGATCCTTACTTTGACACATGAAAAGAAAAACACAACTTGTAATTAGAAGGGAAAAAGTACTGCCACAGTGATTTACTTTCTGCACAAATTGTTATCTGGACCTAACCACAGAAGACAGAGATGAAATCACATGATATTTGGCAGCTCTTGTCAAGGGTTGCATTCCAAATGTACTGTTATGCAGTAGCTCGCAAATGTTGAAAAGCAAATGTTGTCAGGGCTTCTTTACTTTCATTAGGTTGCTTTCATTCCTGCTTTCCCCTGCCCATACTGTATCTCCTAATGATAGGTTGAAGTCTTATCAGGTCAAAGGAGGGTTTGTGCTGGCACAAACTGTTAGCATATCTGGTCCTTAGCGTGTAGCTGAAAAACAGATTCTCTCTCTCCTTTAATCTCAGTTTGGTGAAAGAGTATGATTTAAATGCTGTTTTATTTCATGTGAAGATTATGATGATAGCAATGTCACAATTCAGCCTGCCAGACATTTATATCAATTCATATTGACTAAAAAACCAAAGCACTGGTAACTTGAGTGTCTGCTGTAATATAAATGCAGCATTTTTTGATTTGATTATATTAGATTCAGTTATTCAAACACAAATACATTTCATCATAATTAACAAAACATCTTCAAATCTGTGTAAAGTCAAAAATTACAATTGAATTTGAACCAGTTCGCAATGTAGCGGGATTAAGCATAAGTTTATTTAATTATATTCACAGTCTTAAGATTAAAATTTTCACATTGCAAAGACAGATTTGTCATACTATGAGCTGGCTGTATTGTGAGGTTTGATAGTACATTTAAGACTCAATACAATGTCAGATATAAGACATCTTTTTTTGTTCTCTTTTCCTTTCTTCTCCACGTCTGGCATGACCTTTATCCCCCGAGGTAGTGAAAGTGGGCGCAGTACCCCCAGTCTCTCCACCTACTCTGATGGCAAATCTCCATCGTCTACATATGTGGCAGCCCCACGGCATTTCCATATCCCAGGTAAGCCCTAAAACTCTTTTGGTAAATCAGCAGGTTTTGTCTCCCTTTCTTTGCAGTTTATGAAAGAAATCTGGCAGACTGAATCATCTGTATTCATATTGTACTTTCATTTTGTTCTGTGATCTTTCTCTAAAGATCCTAATCATCAATTTTATACATTTCTAATTCATTAGTGTGCACGAATACCTATTTTTAGTACACGAAACAAACCTGTTACTATCACTGCACATGTTTAAAATAAACCCAATAATTAGTTTCATGTGTTTTCTGCCCATTTTTTGTAATGACGTCTTGTTTCCAACACTGGCACAGGCTGAAACGGCTCTTAAAATGTCTCACATGTGTTACATTAAATGACTGATTTTCTTCTTGAAGTAATGGTTGCGAAGCAGACGTGAGGTTGGGATGACCTAAACAAGCCGCAGAGAGACACATGCTGTCAATTATTAAGACATTATGTCATTGTAGTTACACCATTTATCTCCCTGTTTTCCTCTTAGATCATTTTAGGTGACATTTCTGTCTTCCGAGATGAAAATAAGAGAGAGATTTCATTATTTATGTGACTCCGACTTTATATTTCAACCCCGTTTTTCATTGTTGAGGATCTCGTACAAAACAAAGCTTGATCATTGCATGAACATTACATGATGATGGATGGTTATGAAATGAATTACGATATCTGGAATCTTCATATAGCTCATTTGCTGCCTTTTCCTTTTGCCCCGACTCCATCCTCTATTAACTCATGCTTCTTTATTCATCTTCTTTCTTATGCTCTTGCTCTCTTTGTCTTTCATTCACAGAGACTAAAGTCAAAGATAATATCTATAGAAAGCCCCCTATCTACAAACAGCATGGTACAGTTCAGTCTCCGTACAGCCATGTTTCTTTGCATGCCGTTATGCATGGGACTGTAACCTTTGACCCTCCTTTCTGTCTGCTGGTTTCCATTTCAGCTTCAAAAAAGTAGGTCTTGTAGGTTTTGCAAATCCTTGAAAAGGGTTGGAATTAACCAGGTACTTCTCACACAGTCAATGGCTTATTGTTGGTTGTACATCTGCGAACATCTTGACCACCTTCAGCGGGTCATATTTCATGCATATTTGTCAGGTTTAATTTAAAGAATGTTCTGGTTAGCCCGAACAATTATTAATGGTGCTTTATGAGCCTATTAACTGCATATAATTGTTTTGTATGCATTTGATGTTACACATACAGTACACTGTCTTTCAAAAGTTTGTGGAGGGTAAGATTTTTTTAAATCTCGTGTGCTTGGCAATGCTGCATTTTTTTTATTTAACATTAAAATTTGTTACAAATTGTTAAAAAAAATTAGTAAAGAGTTTTGGTTTAATGTACTTTAAAACTTCATTTTGCAACATAGGCTCATTTTGAAAACATTGCCCGATGTACATTTCTGGAGATATCGAATTATGTAACCAGAAGTATGTATGGCTGTATTTTGTTTTTAAAACAAACGCTACATTTTATTTATATTATAGCAAAGCTGAATTTTCAGCATTATTACAGCAGTTTTTGCAGATGTTTTGGTAAATATTCTAAACGTCTTTACTGTCAGTTTTATTCAATTTGATGTAATACCATAATAATATTAATCAAAAAGTTTATTTATTTATTCAAAAATATTTTTCAAAATGTCTTATTGCCAAATTTATTTGATTAAAAATAAATTGTCATGAGAAGTATTGCATTGTAAAATAGCTGTATTCTGTTTCTTTCTACATATTCTAAATATATATTCTAAACACTTGAAGTTAGAATTATTAGCCCCCCTTTGATTTTTTCTTTTTTAAATATTTCTCAAACGATGTTTAACAGAGCAAAGAAATTTTCACAGTATGTCTGATAATATTTTTTTCTTCTGGAAAAAGTCTTATTTGTATATTTTGGCTAGAATAAAAGCAGTTTTAATTTCTTTTAAAAACCATTTTAGGCTCAACATTATTAGCCCCTTTAAGCTATATTTTTTTTCTGATAGTCTACAGAAAAAAAACATCACTTTACAATAACTTGCCTAATTACCCTAACCTGCCTAGTTAACCTAATTAACCTAGTTTAGCCTTTAAACGTCACTTTAAGCTGTATGTAAGTGTCTTGAAAAATATCTAGTCAAATATTATTTACTGTCATTATGGCAAAGATAAAATAAATCATTTATTAGAAATGAGTTATTAAAACTATTTTGTTTAGAAATTTGTTTAAAAATCTTCTCTCTGTTAAACAGAGGCTAATAATTCAGGGGGGTAATAATTAAACTGTATATTTAAAATATACAGTACTGTATATATATATATATATATATATATATATATATATATATATATATATATATATATATATATATATATATATATATATATATATATATATATATATAATGAAAATCTACTTACCCCAAACTCTTGAATGGTACATTTGTGTACGTTTAATGTAAATAATGCCTTTGATACAATGTTTTCATCAACAAGATTTACATGTCTTTTGCAGTTTTTCCTATTGGTTAATCCAGACATGGAAACAGCATTCAGAGATGATTTTTTTTTTTTTTTTGTGCGTCCATCCATACATATAATCATCTGTCAGTTACAGTATAGTTTATCATGTGTCTTGTGATTTAGATGTTAGACAATGTTGGGTGTCTGTGTCACTCATCGGTTTGGTGAAATGTCAAAGGCATTTGTGTAACCCATTGTGATTGGTTTAAAGACATCTATAACACTAACTGTGATTGGGTGGTTGTGAAATTAATCACTGGATTCGTTGTATCTTTTGGCCTTTTTTTCCTCTTGAACCCTGATTCAACATTGTGTTTGGTTGATCACTTGCTTGTGGATTCTGTACACATTTTTTTTTCTTGTAGCAAACACTGTGAACTCTGTCAATCAGACTACTTATACCCTATATGATTTTTTTGATTGCGACAGTATATTATTTTATAGTTTGTGTGGTACCTTGCATGGTGTAACTGGTAACCTACTCTCAGACAGTGAAACTAGGATGTATTTTAATGTTTTTTATTGTGCTGCAGCTTCCAGAACCTCCTGGCAAGATGGTGATGATGTAGACAGAAAGGTGATTTGTATATCTGTATAAACATCGATGTGTGTATTTAGTAGCTACTAAGCAGATTTGTAAAATAAACATTGATTGATTGAAGTGAATAAGACTGTAAGTCTTGAGTTGATAATTTTCAGATGGCTGCGCGGTCAATATTACTTCTATTATTATTGGTATTAATGACCATGCAGCGATTGGAACTATATTGGCTCTAGATTTCCGGTCTCATTCACCTCCATTGATTTTTAACTGTAAAAAACAGCTTGTTATACTGCTTGGTGTTGCAAACTAGCATTTTCTTATTATAATATTTACCTGTTATTAGTCATAAACACATGTTTGTAGAGCAAGTTGTTTGACCGTTTTTTGAGAATAAGTTTACTACAAATCAAATAAACTTTTACAAATACATTTTCACAATAAATCCGGGTCAAATTATCAAATTAAAGTTGCATTTTTTTTTATAAGTGTAGTAAATTTGTATGAAATAGCTAATTCGTTTTCAGTTTATGCTCATTTTAGCAATTAGCTTGATCCACTTGCATCTGTAGGCTATATGTAATTTCATATTTACTTCTATTACCTTTAAAATGTTATTACTTTTTGTTTATGATTGTGTAATCAAGATGTAATTGTAATCATAAAATTATTACAATTTATTTTAAACTGAACAATACTTAAATTAATTTCTCTTGCAACTTTTGAACTTACCAATTATTACCAAATATCACATTACAATTGAGACTACAATCAACTACAATCAAGTTTCCATGTGCTTTAGTGTATTAGTCAGAACTAAAAAAAAATATTTTTCCATGGAAAATATAATTCAAATTATATATTTTTCTACAATTTGATGATATATGTGGCCTTATATTATATTATTTCTGTTTGTAAAAAAAAAAATTATATATATATATATATATATATATATATATATATATATATATATATATATATATATATATATATATACTTAAAATACACTATAAGACAATACACTTATAACTGGAGATTTGATCAAACCTTATGGACATTATCCAAGGCTTTATAATAATACAATTGTAGTAATAATTTATGTTTTAACTACAAATTCAATAGTTAATTAGTCAATAGTTAGCATTTCTTTGTTAAAACCATGGTTAATAACCATAAAGTTATATGTTTTTCTATTCTATATTTCAAACTTATTATTTGGTATGTGTCTATATTTGTCAATAGACCAGGACCAGTTGGATGAACCTGAAGACTGAGATTGATGGACAGTCTCCAGAGCTAGACCCCAGGACCTCCACACACAGCCTGCCCACTGATATGTCTCAACCCAGTGAGTAGATGATCTAAAAATCTATTGAACACAAACATAACACCTTGTCAGGTCACTCAGCAGCCATTTTGGTATTATCTTTGATCAGCTTGTTCGATGATGGTAAATTAAATATTTATTTTTTTCCGTGTTTGCCATGAAGACAGTCCATAAAGTACAATTATATAGTTATTTTGCAAGATATTCAACTTAATGGCTTAATCAGGTTAATTAGGTTAACTAGGAAAGTTAATTATAAAAATTATAAATTCATTCATTTAGAAGTCATTGAACAAGTGTTTTTTTTCATTGCCAAAAAATATGTATTCTAAAGAGGGGTAAGAACATTGACTTTGGGCGTTTTAACATTTTTATATATGTATGTATGTATGTATGTATGTATGTATGTATGTATGTATGTATGTATTTATTTATTTATGTATTTATTGTAATTATAACTTAATTTAATAATAAAAAATATTAATTAATTAATGTAATTTATTTATTAATTACTATTTGTATTTAGTTATATATATATATATTAAGGATGTAACGGTATCAGAATTTCACGGTACGGTAATACCTCGGTATGAATGTCACGGTACGGTATTTATTGAATCATTTACAGGAAAAACAAAACTTATGAAAATACTCCAAAAAAGTGCCAAAAGTGTCAATGACATACAAATTAGTCATCTATCTGTAAGCTTTGAAACAGGAACTTCAATTTTAATAACAAAAAATTATTAAACCATGTAAAAAAATAAAGTTTCAATTTAGTATTATTGAAAACTCATCACATTCAACATTTAATCACTCACTCACTCACTTAGATAGAGATGGGCTTTAAGGAAAATTATCTTATAACTATAATCTGGTAAAAGCTGGTATCTCTGGGTATTTACAATGTCCCCTGCAACACAAAAAAACCCTCTCATTTGGGACTGAGGTTTCTGGGACAGAGAGATATGACTTGGCCCAGGTTGACAGCAGTGGGTAACGTTGTGCATTGTCTTTCCCCCACTTGAGAGGACAAGCCATGACTGAGATAGAGGTCTCATGTCTGCATCAATCTGAACAGTGTGCTGTGTTTCTGCAGTCCCCATGACTGTTATTAGTCGCATTCCCCAACTTGCAGGCATGTGCACACATAGGGCTCAACCTGTGCAGTGCACATGCCCTTTTTAGTCTTGGATAGAAAGTGCCCTTCCAAAATGATCAAAAGTGCCCCCGCGACGCGACACACGCTCCGTCCCGCCCTTCAGTAGGCGCGCGACATCAACGCTCTTGAGTATGCGCGCTCAACCCCCCTCTCTGCTTTAAGCAGGTCGCACACCAGAAGCGCCGCTCGGCGCCGCGACACGGCGCGCACATGACAGATTAAAGTATCGCACACCAGACGCGCACATTCGAAGGATATTTAACATGAAACTAATCAGATGGCGCTCTGTGGCGCGGCTGAAAAATGAACTGCGTCCTGAGCCGTCGCCGGGCACTGCCGACAGCCGCCGACTTGCGGTGCCGGTGTGTGTATCCTGATAGAAACCTATGTTTAGAATTCTAAAATACATGGTGCTGCGTGGCGCTGCGCGGCGCGCCGCCGAGCGGCGCTTCTGGTGTGCGACCTGCTTTACAGTACGCGCGCGACAACACTGCTATTCAGTACGCGCGCGGCGACAACACCCGCTTTAGGTTTCGATCATCTCCAGCTCTTTTTCATCCCCGCTACTAGAAGCACACTCCATTTCGGCATTACTGGATCTGTAATGACAACAGACCGCAAAGAATTATGGCCACGGCTAGGCTGATGGGAAATGTAGTTTCAGCTACCTCCCGTTCGCTTCATTCGCCTGAGCAAATTTTCTCAGAAGACCTATAGTTTTACCGAGTCATGCGACTACGGTAATATCGAAAAAAATTAATATTGCGGTATGACGGTATTTACAATACCGTTACATCCCTAATATATATATATATATATATATATATATATATATATATATATATATATATATATATATATATATATATATATATATATATATATATTGTAATTAATGAATTACTTATTTTCTATTGCAATTAATAATTTAATTTAATTTAATTATTGTAAATAATTATTTTATTTATTGATTTATACAATCTAAAAGAAATAAGGCTAACAGAAAAGTAGGAAATGCTGAGAATATTGAAAATTTCCTTGCTCTGTTAAACAACACTTGGGAAATATTTGTAAAGAGTTCAAAGTTCTTAAAATACTGCATATTCAACACAGAAAAAGACTAAATATTCCAATATTAATATGTTCCCTATCATATTTATTAGCCTTATGATTTCTTGTGTTCCACTGTCAGTGTGTTGCAAGAGTAAAGTGCTTTAAATCATCAAACTCTGCTTTACAGACTTTCCATATAACAAGTCTGCTTCCCTGCCAGGATATGGGCGGAACGGCATATACAAGGTAAACTTCCTAAGGCTTGCATACAAACACAGCCCCCCGCAAACCTTTTAATGCTCCATCTGTCAGTGATTTTTGGGAATGTATGTGAGCTGTGGTCACAAATGCTGTCATTGACGCTCTCAGCGATGAAGAATGCTGTTTGATCCTAGTTGCATTTGTCAATCCCAGCTGCTGGGACACGGAGGACTGTTGTATTTGCACACATCATGGACACAGATCAGTTGGTGTGGAGATTCAGCTGAAGAAGCCGTAATATTCAAAGTGTTTGTCTGTGCTGGTTTGCAGTTAAAATGTATCTTATTCACTCCCTCTGGCTGTTTGTTTTCCATGTTGTACTTTGAACTGGAAACCTGGCTCTCTTAATGGATGATCCTCGGTGTCGAAGAGAAAGATGTGCTTTGACAGCAGAGAAGCCAGAAACAGTGTTTATTAGTAATCTGCTCAAGATCTACATTCACGCATGCACTTTTTGTTTGGGAATGAGCTGAAAGCTTCTCCTGTACACTAGGTGGCGGTGTTTTGTAACAATTCTTTGTATTTCCAGAATAATGGATCTTTTTGCACAAGACTGATGATAAGGGTCATCAGCATCTTTAGTCCTCAGTTTTTACAAAAAAACTAGTGGATGAAGAATACAAATATAAGAAAAAAAGTATAATAAAAATTATATGTATGAAGGCCTCCTTTTCTATATTACTTGATAAAGTACTTGATATTTACTTGATATGTACTTATCATAATTAATATTTACTTTTTTTCTCTTTCATTAGTGAATTAATTGATAATGAATTAAAAATGACTTGAGTTGACTTTGTCTTGGATATATCATTTTCAGTATTGTTTAGATATTTGATTGAGTCATGTGACCATAGTGTTCAAATTAACTCCAGACGCACCAGGTGCTGTTTTATAGAATAGCCATGTTAATAAAGGCTTTTTAATCTTTTCACGTGCCTTGGACTTATAATTTTGTATTTTACTTGATATTTTATTTACTTAAGTAGTAAAATTAATTAATTAATTAATTTCTCAAGAAAATTGAATTATTAAAACTCAGATTCGGACAACCATGTTGATAATTTATGAAAAATTATGAAAACACGCTGATGATACCATTCATTCATTCATTTTCTTGTCGGCTTAGTCCCTTTATTAATCCGGGGTGATTGAACCTCCAACCTGTCGAGCAAATTTTTACGCAGCGGATGCCCTTCCAGCCGCAACCCACCGCTGGGAAACATCCACACACACTCATACACTACGGACAATTTGGCCTACCCAATTCACCTGTACCGCATGTCTTTGGACTGTGGGGGAAACCGGAGCACCCGGAGGAAACCCTTGGGAACGCAGGGAGAACATGCAAACTCTACAAAGAAACGCCAACTGAGCCGAGGCTCGAACCAGCGACCCAGTGACCTTCTTGCTGTGAGGCAACACTACCTACTGCGCCACTGCTTCGCTTGATACCATTCAGATTGTAAATCAGTTAATTATTTATCGATGACTATTGATTTACTGGAGTCTTAACTCTGGCTGGATCATTTCAATCAGTGAGTTGTTTACTGGACACTCACTCTGAAGTGATCATTTGAATCAGTGAGTTGTTTACTGGAAAATCACTCTGATTAAATAATTTGACTCAGTGAGTTTTTTTTACTGGAGAATCACTCTGATTAAATCATTTGACTGTTTGAGTTGTTTACTGGACACTCACTTTGAACGGATCATTTGAATCAGTGAGTTGTTTACTGGAGAATCACTCTGATTAAATCTTTTGACTCAGTGAGTTGTTTACTGGACACTCACGCTGAACGGATCATTTGAATCAGTGAGTTGTTTACTGGAGACTCACTCTGATTAAATCTTTTAAAGAGGTGAGTTGTTTACTGGAGACTCACTCTGAACGGATCATTTCAATCCGGGGTCACCACAGCAGAATAAACCGCCAACACTCATTCACACTCATTCACACTCATACACTACGGACAATTTAGCCTACCCAAGTCACCTGTACCGAATGTCTTTGGACTGTGGAGGAAACACGAGCACCCGGAGGAAACCCACGCGATTGCAGGAAGAACATGTAAACTCTACACAAAAACGGCAACTGACCCAGCCGAGGCTCGAACAACCGACCTTCTTGCTGTGAGACGACAGCAATACCTACTGTGCCCCTGCGTTGCCCTTCCTAAATTTTATTGCTTAATAAATTTTGTATGTGATTTTATGTTAATTTAGAATAAACTGTGGAATGTTCTCAGTAACATTTGTTATGGAAATATTGGCCGTATATGTGCTGTTTGCATATATTTCAATTAATATGGAAAGCCAGTGCATGTTTTTACCTAAACTAATATTAGATTTTTATTAAATGCGTGTGCGTGTAAAACAATATAATTTCCACAAACAAATTATGGCGTTCTTTTTTAAAGAAGTTGTTACCACCCCATTTAGAGCATCATTATGGGTGTTTTACTTTATAACTAACATGGTTCAAACGATGGATCTACAACAGAGAAACTATGGGTTTTGTAAAACACTGGTCTCTACACCGTTCTTTTCCCAACGATGCATCATACTATGATAGTTGAGCCGCAAGTTACGTCATTATTTGGGAAACGCACCCCTGAATGGATCATTTGTATCAGTCAGTTGTAAACTGGAGACTCACTCTGAATGGATCAATTGAATCAGTGAGTTGTTTACTGGAGAATCACTCTGAACGGATCATTTGAATCTGTGAGTTGTTTACTGGAGACTAACTCTGAACGGATCATTTGAATCTGTGAGTTGTTTACTGGAGACTCACTCTGAACAGATAATTTGAATCAGTAAGTTGTTTACTGGAGACTCACTGTGAACGAATCATTTGAATCAGTGAGTTGTTTACTGGAGACTCACTCTGAAAGGATCATTTGAATCAGTGAGTTGTTTACTGGAGACTCACTCTGAAATGATCATTTGAATCAGTGCGTTGTTTACTGGGAGCAGCACTGTTGCCTCACAGCAAGAACGTTGCTGGTTCAATTGGCTGGACCAGTTGTCATTTTTATGTGGAGTTTGCATGTTCTCCCTGTGTTCGCGTGGGTTTCCTCTAATGCTAGAGGAATAAACTAAAGTGTGTATAAGTGTAAATTAAATCAATTAAAATAAAGTCTAGATACTTAACATATGTACTTAAGTACTGTACAGTAGTGAAGTAAAAGAACTTAGTCACTGTCCACCACTAAAAACACACCTTATGTACATTTATAAAGCTATACTTTGTATTACATCAACTTTAAAAAATAAAATAAAATAGTTAATGCTTATGCCAGGTGTTTATGCAGCATCTATGAGTGGGACAGTAAATTTGATGTTATTTATTTCCATGTTTTTGAAAGTCATGAAGCACTATTGTGCAGTTTCAATATTGATATTTGTGATACTCTCCTATTCACTGCCCTCTAAGTTTACCCAATTATGACGACTTCTGCTGCTGAGAAACATGGACACGTGAAAAGAAGCCATGAACAGCTTAAAAACACAAATAGTACCCATTCTTTATGTCTAATATGGTTTGACTTAGTTGCATATTTCAACTTTTTAGAAAGGCATGTGAAACCGAAAGCTGGCCATAGGTCAATATTTATAACTATATATACAGGAAAGCTTCAGCCCTAAGGATTCAATCCTCTGTCTGTGCTAGACTTTAACCTTTCACCTCAGGAAATGAAAGGAAAACTTTCACAGTTTCACAGCAGCCGCTCTGTTCAAACGTTATATTGTTAGTCTTAACTGATTGTAGCAGAAGGTATGGTGAAATAAATGTTTACTGTGACCTTCTTAAAACCAGACATTGGTCTTTTGAAACATAAATGCACCCTGTTTGTTTTCAGTTCCTAAAGATTTGTCATAATTGTCAATTTTTGAAGAATTGAGATCAAATACATCATATGAAAGCTGAATAAATAAGCACTCTATTGATGTCAATTACAATAGAAACTAAATTTGGCTTATAGATACAACTATTTGAAAATCCTAAATTCAAGGGTTCAACAAAGTAAAAATACAGAAAAAATGGCTTTAAAATGTTCAAATTAGGCAAGGCAAGGCAAGGCAAGTTTATTTATATAGCACATTTCATACACAGTGGCAATTCAAAGTGCTTTACATAAACAAGAATAAAAGTAAAATAATAATAAAAACAAATAATAAAAATGCGTAAAAACAAAACAAAACATAAAAACACGTAAAATGTGATATAAAAGAATGAAGAAGAAGAGAAAAACATGATAGTGCAATTTGTTGGACGCAGCACAGTGCTCATTCAGTAAAGGCACAGCTAAACAGATGTGTTTTCAGCCTTGATTTGAATGTGCCTAATGTTGGAGCACATCTGATCATTTCTGGAAGCTGATTCCAGCAGCGGGGAGCATAGTGGCTGAAAGCTGATTCACCCTGCTTTGACTGAACTCTTGGAACTTCTAGTTTATATGATCCTTAAGATCTGAGTGATCTGTTAGGTTTGTATTCAGTGAGCATATCTGTGATGTATTTAGGTCCTAGGCCATTTAGTGATTTATAGACCAGTAATAATAGTTTAAAATCTATTCTAAATGTAACTGGCAGCCAGTGTAAAGACCTGAGGACAGGTGTGATGTGCTCTGATTTTCTGGTTCTGGTTAGAATTCTGGCTGCAGCGTTCTGGATGAGCTGCAACTGTCTGACTGTCTTTTTAGGAAGACCAGTGAGGAGTCCATTACAGTAATCCACCCTGCTGCTGATAAAAGCATGAACAAGTTTTTCTAAATCTTCACTAGAAACAAAGCATCTGATTCTTGCTATGTTTTTGAGATGATAGTATGCTGATTTACTGACTGCTTTGACATGACTGTTGAAACTCAGATCTGACTCCAGAGTCACACCAAGATTCTTGACCTTATTTTTTGTCGTTTGACCTTTAGTGCCAAGGTATGCATTTACCTTGAGAACCTCATCTTTGTTTCCAAACACAATCATTTCAGTTTTCTCTTTGTTTAACTGAAGAAAGTTTTGGCACATCCAATTGCTCATTTCATCAATGCATTGGCAGAGGGTGTCAATGGGGCTGTAGTCATTAGGCAGTAAGGCTAGGTAGATTTGAGTGTCATCAGCAAAGCTGTGGTAGGAGATTTGGCTCTTTCTCATTATTTGGCTTAGAGGGAGCATGTAAAGGTTGAACAGGAGAGGTGCCAGAATCGAATTAAGTTCTTAACAATGCATATTACTAATCAGAAATGGCATTTTTATCTATTTATGCCATGTCTTCATAAAACATGATATTTACTCAATATTTACTATAATTTGGCTATAATTCTAACCATTTTGACCCATACAATGTATTTTTGTCAAATGGCAAAATTATACTTGTGCAACAAAAGACTAGTTTTGTGGTCCAGAGTCACATTTGCACTCAATAATTTGGTGAATGCTTTTATCCAAAGTGACTTACAAATGAGATCAAGTAATTAAAAGTAACAAAAGACAACCTGTAAAGACATTTCTCAGTTAGTGTAATGCACTACACAAATGTTATAAATATAGTGCTCAAAAAAATAAGGTAACAGTTGGAGTTACATTGAGTTAAGTGTTCCCTTTATTTTTCGAACAGTATATATTATCACACATTCAGCTATGAATAACATGTTCTGACTAGAGTTAAATAAAGGCCTGGTTTTGCTTTTCTCTAGGCAGCTGATCTTGGTGAGGATGAGGCAGACCATGATTCATCCTGGAGTGGAATGAGAGGTGAGTTTGTGTTTGACTTATAGACCATAAATAAGAAGCATTTGTTCCACAAAAGATTATTGGTTGTAATTTGTGTTACTCTTTCTCTTTTTTTTCAATCTCTTCCTGTTTTCCATGCCTTTTCAGAGTACAAGGTAAGATATTGTGTTTTTAAGGGAATGCTGTAGCTTTTCAAGTCAGTGACTAAAATAGGTTGTTAGTAGACTGTTCTTATTGGAGGGTAAATTTTATATGAAAGTAACAAAGCATAACCAACCAGTATTAAATACAAATTTACTTGCATGGTAACTGGATTTGGTTTTAAGATGATATCAATAGTATTATTTGAAATGAATAGAAAAATTGTTCATTGTTTCCATTCTGCTTATGCTATTTTAGAGGTTTAAGCAGTGTTAGTTCTCATGACAGTTTTAGAAAATAACGCAAAATTTCGCACAGCATTTCGTGAAAATATGCATTTGTTTAAAATATGTCATACTGAGCCTAAACTATTGAATTGTAGCGTGTAATTGTGTGTCATATGCATGTTTACAGGTGTACCCATATGACATGCTAGCTGTGTCCCACAGAGTCCGAGTAAAACTACCACGTGATGTGGACCGCACCAGACTGGAGGTAATGCTTTATTAGAACTTCAACTACACCATTTCCCTGTTCTTCAGTTTCCTTCCTATGTGGTTTATTTTTAAGTTCATACTTTGCTTTCAATGCTGTAGATGATTTGTCTCTAGCCTTGTGTAGCCAGATCTTCAAAATTGTGGCTCTTTAGCAACTTTCACTTGCCAAGGATCGTCTAGTGGCCACTTAACTGACATTTAACTGACAAATAATAACAGATTTTGGTCAGTGTCATGTTAATGGGATATTCATCCTAGTGATGTCTGCTTTTTAAAGCACTGTCGTATGAAGCTTTAAAACTGTTATGAATGGTTAGTTCCATGAACAGGGTTTTTATCATTGCTGTTTCAAAATGTTTCATAATTTCGTGGTTCTCCGTTGGGGGTATTACTCACACTCAAAATCCAGCGGTTTTGTGTCATTGTAGAAACACTGCTTGATCATTTTTACCAAACCCTGGTAAGTTTTATGATTACAAAAGTATGCTTATTTTAACCTATATTTAACAATATTAGACAATATCACAAAAGCTTTGCATTAGATAGACTATACTTTCAGTTTAAATTGTGTAAAGTTTGCTTTAATATTTATTGCATTTACAGTTTTGACCAGGTATCACTACACTAAAAAATGTAAGAGACAACAGATAGTTTTATGTTGCTTGAACTTATTTGAATAAGTTAATCAGGGTTCAACTAATTTTTGGAAAGTTATGCAAAGTTTAACTTAACACTTTTTAGTCAGTTTGATTGATGTAAGTTAATATGACTAGAAAAGGAAATTATGAGGTAAAGTCAGCAAGAAAATGTTTTGAGTGTAGCATAATATGTTTCAAAGCCTTCAAAGTTTCATTTCATGCATTACCTGTAACCACAAAATTAAAATATACTCTCAATTGAATGATCCTCATGTAGTTTCAAATCGTCATGAATTTCCTTGTTCTGTTGAACACAAAAGAAGATAAGGAACGTGTAAATTTGTAGCCATTGGCTTTCATAGTAGGAAAAAGTAGAAGTCAATAGGTGTTGGTTTGATTAAGATATCTTCTTGAAGAAAGAAACTCAAGCTTTTTGGAACAAGTGTAGGGTGAGTAAATGATGACATAATCTCCATTTTGGGGTAAACTAACCCTTAGGGCATGAAAGAATAACATAAATCCACAACAGCCTGTTGCCGTGGGCCGGGACAATCAATAAATCATTCATTCAAGAATAGAAAAGTCTCTCACATATTTTTGTTTTTTGTTTAGGACAGGCACTATTTTCCTTCATAAATTAGAGTTGTCCAGCATGATGGTTGCAACATAGGCTCATTCTGAAAATGTAGCCCTATGTACATTTCTGGAGATCGCAAATTATGTAGCCAGAGGAATATATAGACTTTCATCTCTAAAACGAATGCTACAGGGCAGTATGATGCCGTTTCTTTTCTTGCTTACGAGCCAACCGCTTACCTATGTTATGTAAGGGGGGTCTCTTCACACCGCCACCACCAGTGTGCAGCATTCGCTTGGATGATGCTACAGCAGCAACGGTGGAAATCTGGCCAGGACACCGGGTTACACCCCTACTCTTTTCGAGAAGTGCCATGGGATTTTTAATGACCACAGTGAGTCAGGACCATGCTTTAATGTCTTATCTGAAAGACTCCCTGCTTTCCTGCTGTTATCAGTTTGTCCAGTTAGCTTGACATGTATGTCGGTGGACTTGAGAAGCAGAGTGGAGTTGACCGAGATAACGGGGTCCAAGTATGACATTCGCAAGAGATATTTGAGATCTGAAAAAGCACCCTCAAGCAGATTTGCGAAAACAAAAAAACTGCAAAAGCACTTTGCTTTTAGGACGTATTTTGCTCTCTACATAAATGTGTATAGGAGTACGCAATTAGAATGAGCCTGGGTTGGATGGTTTACATGTAAACATTAAAGAAAAAGACAGAAATCCTGTAAACTCCAAACAATCAAATGATGACTTTAATATTCCTGACTGAAACTAAGACTAAGTGGTACTTTTAGGATGATTTACATTTACATACGGCTGGAGCAAGGCTTGTCTTGTTGCTGTTTAATCATCATTTTGTTCAATATCAATCTGGATCACAGAAGCCAAAAAAAATGTTTGCTTGTGAATGCGTATGTTTGAGAGGTTGTAGCATTATGAGACCGCAGTCCACATGCCAACAGATAATTTATCCCTGGCGTTCCTGGACACCAGTGTCAGTGTTATTAGTGGGTTTAAATGGAAAAGGGATGAGAAATATCTGGCGCGCTTTTACTTCAGCATGAGTTATGAGAGATGCTAATTTATCGAGCTCACTCCCTATAACTGTTCCTGTGGAATCACTGTGGTTAAAGCTGCAACATCTCAAAATCTGTGTGTTTTCATCATCATGTGATTGCTGTCTCGATATAAGAGGCTATTGTCACATCTGTTTGAACTAAGCTTGATTGGAGTCATCCTCCCAGCGGGAGACCCTTGCAACACCCAAAACGTTCCAAAGACGCTGATTTCAGCGTTTTATTTGGAGACACGCAAGACACCCAGACATCTGCAAGTGCTGGAGAACCACATATGACGGGCCTGAAAGAATAAAGATTTATACAAATGCATTCTGGAATGATTTAAACCCAAATTGAGGTCATAGGCTTACAAGTCTGGCAACTTTCACAGCCCCCCAGTGGTGCTCGTAATCCCGATGGTGCTGAAGGCAATGAATGTCCTCCACCATCCAATAGCTGTAAGTGACACATGCATATATAGCTGGTTGTAATTATTGTCAATATTGTATTATTTTTCAGTCCGCCTTTAATCTGGAATGACGTTTGTGCCATGCAGATATTGTTACCAGAATAAACAGTGCTTAGATTTCTGGCAGAGGTCTGTCGGGTTTGTTCTGATTTAGGTCTGATTAGCTCTATGACAGTGTTATTTTAGGCCTTTATAGATGGATGACTGTATCGCGGAGCTATTCAGCATGGTTTATAAGTGGTCGCTCACAGGGAAATTATTAATCTGTCATGATTTATTCTCTCTCTGAAACGACAAAACTTTCTTTTGTGCAGGATAACAGGAGATATTTAGAGGAGAAAGTCTGTGCTGCGCGTTTCCATACAATGAAAGTAGTTGGTGCCACAGCTGTGAAGCAAGACTTTCAAAGCAAAAAAAGAAAAAATGGAATTAATGAATATTTAAGTTTGAGTCTTTTCCTCACAAAGTTTTTATTGAATTTTGAAACATTTATTATTTGTAGTTAATGCTTAAATTAAACGACAGCCTTCAGTTTGATAGTCACACTAAGGGCCTTATCATACACCCAGTGCAATATGGTGCCAGGCGTGTATGGCCTGACTTCTGTATTTATTTTTATTTTCATATGGCAGGTTTCATTTTCACGTTTTGCACCCTGTTGTTTAAATTGCAAATCTTTTTGCACCACTTTGTGAAGTTATGCGTGTGCTGATCTGAAAATGAGGTGTGTTAAGGTGCATTGCTGGCATGTTTCTATTTTGAAGCAACTGAAATAGATCGCACCATTGACCAATAAAAAACTGGTCAGAAGTCGTATTTGTTTTGGAGATGCATGCATTACCATATGGGACAATGGGAAATGTGTTTAAATATAACTCAGTTTTCTTTATTATTGTTCATTTATTTCACAAAAAACACATAACGGGCCGTGAACTCCCCCCACCCCCCTCCCCCCGGCTTTTATTTTTTGTTCTGTTTTTGAATTTGTTTTTAAAAGATAGAGTTTGATAAATTAGATGAGCTGCTCCGACTGTCACTGAATGGCAAATGAAAACGGCCTTTACCTCAAAACTCTGCATTATAAGAAAAAGAAAACACACTGTACAGTCAGAATTGTAGCATGTATTCTTAACTTTTTTTGCACAGTGACGCTAATTTGAATGAGTCGGATTTACCTTTACATTATATGGCAACTGCGCTTCACGAAAGACGAAGTTAAGATTCCGTTCTTTATACCACATGGATAAACAAAATGGATAATAAGTATAAACAAGGATAATAAGGATAAACAAGAGACGAAAAAGAGATTATAGTGAGAATGAATGAATGAATGAATGAATAATTAAATGAATGAATGAATGAATGAATGAATGAATGAATGAATGAATGAATGAATGAATGACAGTTTCTAAGATATGAGAGGCATCCCCTTTTTGCCCAGTAAGTTTATCTTGTGTTTTATTTGCTGATGTAAGCTATTTTTAAAAGATACGTATAATTTATAACCATACATTATTTATATTACATCATATCACCTCTTAAAAGCTTTTTGTATTAAAGGACAAGGTACAGATATTGATGTTTCACAGTGTTTTACTCTACATTATTTGAATCTAGCAAGCTTTGTAATGTTTACATTTTAAATCCAAATCCTAAAAATCAGAAATGATAACAGATTGTTAAGATTTAATTAATTAATTTCCATTTAACGTTATTGATTAATGCACTTACTTGACAGATTTCATTCATTCATTTTCCTTTTGCTTAGTCCCTGATTTATCAGAGGTTACCATAGCAGAATATACCACCACTTACTTGACAGATTAAAAATAATAATAGTTTTTTAATAATCCTATCATTTCAGAGGCACCTGTCACCAGAGGACTTCTACAATGTGTTTAGGATGACCATTGAACAGTTTGACCGTTTGGCCTTGTGGAAAAAAAATGAACTGAAGAAGAAAGCCCGCCTGTTTTAAACCACGCTGAATCGCTTGAAAGAAAGCAAAGATAAAGAGAAAACCTCTTCTCATCCGTCCTGTGCGCACTGAGGGATGAGTGTGAGAGAAATATATATGCACCTCCGTTCTGCTGCATAGCTATTGCCATCCCATCTCACGCTGAGGAAGAGGAAGTGCTTTCACAACGCTGTTCGCCACCAAGCTTCATGTGTGAACGCCACATCACATGGTCTGAATGTTAATCCGAGACTGGAGTCGGAACTCAATTCTCCACGACTCTCTTTGATTGTGTTCGATTTCGCTCCCTCGGCTGTCTTTGTGATTACTGCGTTGTATTCTCTCTTTGTGGAAAAAGCACTCAATATTGATATAAGCCTCTTTCTTTACATTTTATACAGTTGATAAAACACGGCCAAGCAGCTCTACTTGTAAATCTTTATGCTGTGTAATAACATCCAATGTTCCCACTCCCCTTGTCTTTTGCTATGATTGTCGTCCAATGTCCTTGTCTACTCATATAGAGTGCATTATTCTGCCTCCCTACCACATCAGCAGATCTGGTTCCAGAAGTATTTTTACCATTCAATTTTCCGATAGGGATTAAAAAAATGTCATTATCAATAATTAAATGCTATGTGAAAAATCAAAAGTTTGATTTGAAACATAAGAGAAAAAATCCATCAAAAGAAAAGGTTTACAAAGAACTACAATCTCATGAAGCATTGCAGATGACACAGTTGAAATCAGTGGAAATATAAAACTCTTCATGTAAAGTTGTTGGTTGTATATTTATACCCCAACGTCAAGTTAAATACTGGTATGCAAAATTTTCAGGTATTTTGATTGTTCACAGCTGGTCCTGCATCAGTTCACGATTGATTTACCAATCAAATGATTCCTAACTCACTATAAATAGCCAGAGTTTTCTTTTCTCAGTATCTTCATCTTGAAGATGCGAAGTCCAAAAACACGCAACCTAAGTAAATTGAACATACCAAATTAAACCATAGCCAAGCTCTTAGCAAGTGTACTTCACTCCTTAGACATACTGTATTTGTCATTAGTCAGAAATAAGACAGGGAGAGTTCATCGAGATCTACCTGAGCTTAAACTCCCCTCTCGCCCTGCAAATGGAGGGAGCCCAGGGCTCGAGAATCTCATAAGCTCAATCAACTATTGAATGCAATTTAGTTCTAGGTTTTTTGTCTGGTGAAAACCAAACTAGTGCAGAAACATTTTCTGGAGTCTTAAAATTAAAAGTTAAAAATCATAATTTTTTTTTACTTACTGTTGATAGGGGGCGCTAAAATGTTTAAGCCACTATTGCTAAAATTATTTTAACTCTTGAACAGAATTATAAACTGTACCTTTACTAAAGTCTAAATATGCTTGTGAAAACTCCATTTGTGGTCACAGTAAACAATTGCATTTGGCCAGGCGGTGGCACTATAACCTGAAAACACACAAACACAAAAGAGCTGAAAAACCATGGTCTCAATGAACTATTTGTTCTATTGGCTTCCCTTCAGATCAGATACGTGAGCCTGTGCAATGATATTTTGGATTTCGCTTCTTAGCAAAATTCAAGTTTAGTGAACTCTAAAGGCGTATCTATTCACACACTTGCAACTTCGCCAAATTAAAAATGCAAGTTCATGCCAGAAATTTAACATGTCCTTGCGTTGAAAAGTTCAAGTTTGGTGAACTCTGACCTGCAAATTACTATCATGTGATTGCATGAGACCCACAAAAGTTCAAAACTTGACCTCTCTACAGAATATATAAAACATGGAGGAATTGCTGGTATTAGCGTAGTCGTATCATCTTGTTTTACCACGCCCATTTTCGTAGCATTGTCCAAATGCATTTTTCTTAATCAAAGACTTGAGTGACTGCCACTTAATTTGCTAATTCAAGTCACATGAATTTCTGAGACTAATAGAAGAACAGAACATGACCTCTCTGTACAGAAGTTTAAAACGTGGAGGAATCGCTTTTTTAGCAGTGCCGCATCATCTTGTTTTATCCTGCCCATTTTCGCAAAACACCGTCTCAGTGTGACAGTATCTATAGATGTACTTAGCAAAAGAATGTAATCTCATGAAGCATTGCAAATGACACAATTATATGTAAAACAACGGAGGAATATAAAAACTTATTTAAAGTTGTTAGTTATATCTATACCAATATTTAATTATCTGGATCAGGGGTTCTGAAACTTGGTCCTGGAGGGCCAGTGTCTTGCAGAGTTTAGCTCCAACTTGCCTCAACACACCTGCCTGGATACTTCTAGTATGCATGGAGTTTGATTAGCTGGTTCAGGAGTATATAATTGGCGTTGAAGCTAAAACCTGCTGGTCACCGGCCCTCCAGGACCGTTTGGGCACCCCTGATCTAGAGTGTGTAAACTGATTTGTTATTTGAGGTGGTTCATGGATTGGATGATCTCTGGTAGCTCTTTGCTCGCTTTAACTGTCCGATTGGTACAATTTCTGTAAAGCATTATGGGAAATGCTGGACAGATCGTCAGAAAAAGCATATACAATTGGTTAACAACATTGGAGCTCACAGCAGGTCTGCCTTTAAAGGTTTTCCCTATAGAAAAAATGAATGAGTTTTTACTTCTGGATCCTAACTGCTTTATTGTTTGCTCAGTGTGTTTCTCTCGCTCTTTTAACCTGCCTGTTCCTCTTTATACCTCCTAAACATGATACTCAGCCACTGCTTGGACTGTAAAATCTATCATGTATTATCAGCTTTATGGAAGCTTTGTCGTTCATGGCTTTAGCATGACCAAGCCAAAGACTCGTTCAGAGCAAGAAGTCAACAAAGCACCTTACATGTGACCTAACCAGACGTGGCGCAATAAAACGACAAACTTTTTTTAAATGTCCTTTCCAGCCTCAATAGTGACAAACAAAGAGCAACAGAACTCTTGTTTGATCGATTGGTTTCTAGTTTCATGACATCTCACTGTTTAGCCCTGCCCACTGTGAAATCTCACTGGTTCCTTGAAACATCATTAAAGGGACGCTTAACATAAAAATAAAGTGTTGCTCTTCATTCAAAAAATTCCCCTGCTCAGTTTCGGCACTAAATGCAGCCACAGCCTCTCACATGACAGCAGGGAAAGGCTCAGCCAATCACAGTGATCATTTGTTTTGGGGGCGGTACAACTCGAGTATAGAATGTGATTTAACCCTTTCTGCATGTCTAGGTTAATACTGACAGCGTGATTTTTTTAAAGTGAATTAATTATAAGTGGGGACATTTCAGTAGTCGGTGGATATTGGTCTGGACACGTCACTTTTGTCCATGCTAAATCTACGCCCATGCTTATAACAAATATCTTTAAGTGTCATTCGCTCTGCTATGACATTTTAAATGCAATGATGGCAAAGTGTGTTCCCTGCAGACACAGGACGTCAACATGACGTCATATTGACGTTGTACCCAACGTCATGGGAACGTTGGATTTTGTTTGGAAATGAAAATCGGGTTGATGCCAGAACCCATATTTAGGCCGACATCAATGTCCAACGTTTAACAGCAAATCAACCTAAAATCAACCAAATATCAAAGTCTAATCATGTTACACCTTGATGTTGTGTGGACGTTACCATTATGATATCTATCAGAAATTGGATTTCGGTCACTTTCCAACACAACCTAAAATCAATCAAATATCAACATACTTTGATAGCATTATTGGATGTCAAATTACATTGTCCTTGGACACTGGCTAGACATTGAATTTTGTCACTTGCCATCATGACCTAAATCTAAACTAATATCAATATCTTATGATGTTGTGTGCCTGCTGGGTTATGACAAAAAGACGGAAACAAATCACGTGTTTTTGTCTTTGGCATGACAACTTATTACCAAGACAACAAAACTTGTCATAAATCTTGCATAAACATGATTGTCATCAAGCCATTATATATGTGTCATGAATTTTATTACCGCGTCATTCTTTTTTTTTTTTTTTACCTCAACAACACTGGTACAAGCTGAATTTGTCATTAGAATGTCATTAAATATTAATGACACTGTTAAGAAAATATTTGACACTTTTAATGAAACATTTTAATGACAAATACTGAAAATTGTCATCATAAAAATGTCCATGACACAATTATAATGGCCTCAAGACAATAATGCTTATGACCAGATATGTTGTCTTGGGAATGTCAAGTTGTCATGACAAAGACCAAGACTTGTGTTTTATTTATGTCAAGTTCTCATAACGAACAATGTGATCTTTGCATTTAAAATGGCATAACTGAGCAACATAATAGTATCACAAGCATGCATAAAACCTCATTTACATTCATGACAATGTCCTATGTCATTTTTATAAAGGTTTCATGACAGTCTTTTGAAAACCTCTTAAAATAAAGTGTTTCTGTTGATACATTGAGGTATTATGAAGTAAACAATTGGTCTATACAAGAAACTGAACCTTAATTACAACATTACATTTATTCCATATAGTCTCTGTGCAAGATCACAAATGAGCTGAAGTTCCCTTTAAATATGCAGTGTCTTCTCATTGGCTGTGATTTGTGTCACATCATGCTTCAGTTTTTGAATATGTCATATTGCGCCTGGTTAGGATACAGTGTTAGTTGATATGTTCCTTGTTAATCGTTGTTGAATGATAGTGAGTGTGAACAGCTGGAACAATGCATTGTTTTTGTGTTAAATTATGTATTTCTTTGCTTCTTCAGGTAAATGTGCAATTCATCCTCAGAGATTTATCATATCACAGTTATTCAGTAAGACATTTAGACTTTGAAATTGATATCTGAACATCACATACTCTTTCCATATATATTGTGCACAATACGCACAATCATAAACGCATCAGCCAGACATGGCATCTGTCTGTATTGTTTTAATCTGCACAAATGAAAGTACTCACGACAGAGTGAACTCTTATTTTTATATGCCTTTTCTTTTCATACAGATGTCTGCCAGATTATTTCCATTTGCAAAAAACGGACTTTAGCATGAAGCCATGCCAAAGTTAACAGTATCTGTAGCAATTAGCTAAACTAATACAACACAACATCTAATGAAGCATGCGGTTCAGTGGCGCTTCATTTTATGACGGTTTTCTTTTGTTTTTTGATTGTTGATAAATGTGTGTGCATTATATTAATATATATATAAATGTCTGTTACACTGATCATGTCACTTTGTAGGCATGCACTACAAACAGAACCATCATGTGAAGGCATAATAATGAATATTAGATTGTAATGATGCTGTGTTTTTGATTTGAGATCTGAAAGTTATTGTTTTGTTTCCTCGGACACATTCTTAAAAGGATGGTTTCCCCAGAATATGTATTGTTAATGTAGTCACCCTCAGGCCAGATGTAGATGACTTTTTCTACAGTAGAATAGCAGATTTTTCGATGAAGCCATGCTCCTTTGTGATTCAAAATGCAAGTCAACCAGCGGATTCGAATGTTATCACTCGATTGAATTGGTGTTATCAGTAGGCGCATGGTGTTATCCATTCACATGGTTAATTAGCTATAGATTAAATACCGCCTTGAAATAATAATGATAATTATTTATATTGTTTATTAAATTTCTCATTATTTTGTATTTTTTTAACATCTACCCCTACTCCAACCCTAAACCCAACCATCACAGAAATCTAAAAACAGATCTGGAGTCTTCTCTATTAGGCATAAAGTGGAGCTTTTTTACAGTAATTTAAGGTTCAAATACTGCATTTTAGTGATATTTTAAGCACTAATTTGGGCTGGATTAGCTTGTCGAATGTTATCTTTACCACACTTTTTGATGCAAAAAAAAAATACTTCCTACATTTATGTGAAAGTGCTTATTATACAACTTTTTTGTTTACAAAAATGTATGTTTATTTACAAGTTTATTTACAGTTTTATATACAACATAGTGAGATTAGGATTTTAGAAATATGAAAGAATACTTATTTATAAATGCTAATTTATCATCATCCATCATAAAAAAACAAACAACAAAAAATTGGGCAGCTGTTAAAATTTATTTACATGAAAAACTGTAGCCTATATGCAGCTCATTTCCTCAGTCAGAATTTGTCCATTTAAATAATAAAAAAAGCCGTCTTTTATTAGTTATTTTATTGGTTATTCTTTTTAAAGCCTTCTATTGGTTATTTTCACAATTGGGATGGCATGTTGTCAAAAAATGGGTCAAATGAGCTTATAAAGGCACCAAATTCTGGACTTTGTCAGAAGGAGGGTGGGTCTTTCAAACCACCCAAACCCCCTGATCCCCCACCCCCCAGCTACGGACCTGGTATAGCTGATTAACCATGTGGATGGATGATAGCCTTCTGAGCCTACTAGTAGGTGCAGAAGACCCCCTACTGGCCCATATCTATTAGCAGATAACCATTGATAACACCCATTCAATCGAGTCCATTCAAGAGGCTGAGTCAATATCACTTTAAGAGTCAACAAACATATAAAGGCAAAACCAGATTATTACACATGGCTGATGTCTTTTAAAGCAAACAAATAGCCAGTGCAAACAACAACAACAACAACAACAACAACAACAAAAATAGCAAATCAATCTCCAAGGCATCAGCTAAAATCTTTAATGTTCCACTGTTTCAAGTCATCCACATCACAATTCACCAGTTGTAGCTTTAAGTTCCTTAATTATTTGGAAGAATGAAGAAAAACAAGTGTTTCGTCCTTTTAGTCATACAAATTTATCACATTCTGTACAAAAAAAGTCCTGACAGCATATGTTTTTTTCTTTAATTTGAGTAAGTCAATCAGGCTTTGACTTAATTTTTTATATTAAATTTTAACTTGATGTTTTTAAAAGTCAGCTTGACAAGTTGAAATAATAATAATTAAGTTGGTAATAAAAAATAAAATTAAGTTGGTTGAACTTAAAAATGTTTTACATTTCAGAAGTTTGAAACTGTTTGAAGCCCCATTACATAGTTCTGTCTTATGAAAACCCATGTGCAACATGTGCCTGTCTTGAACAATATCAAGGCATCTTTGGATTTTTTTTATTTTTTTCTCAGCAGGGAAACTCTTGCTTTCTTGTTGATTGTGAAAGTATAACATTTCTAACCAACTATAAATGTGTGCATATCCAGATCTATTTCTTCGGGGTCATATATAATGTAACATTTGTCATGCAGTAGGCTACATTTTAGCCATCGCTGGTTTTGCCAAAATCTGTTGTTCTGGGGAAAAATACACAGTAAGGCTCATCTCAAACACATGAATGTGTTTGGGTCTGAGTGTGTAGGTGGGAGTCTTCCCAGAAGAGCTGTGGAGGATGAATGCGTTGCTCTTACTTAAACAGCTGTAGAAACAGGCACGCGTGTGGTGTTAGCTGACAGATCAGCAGTGGAGACTAGGTGAGTTCAGATCAGTGTGTACTAAATCATCTTCATTATTATTGTTTTTTACAAATCACTGTTCTAGCAAGGAGGCCATATCTGCATTTGCCCCGGTTCCATTTATGTGTTCTCTTAAAATATGGTTTGCTATTGTGTATGTGTGAAGTCTCTTTGTCTGGATGAAAGCAGATGTAGGGCTGTCTGTGACCCAAGAGAACTCTGACCCACAGTTTTGAGAGCTGCTTTCCTACTTTTGCTACTGTTACACATGAAGAGAGCTTGTGCCTGTTATGACTGCATTCAAACAAATGTTTTGTTTTATACATAGAAAGTTCGAGAGACCTCATTCTGAAGTTATATTTGTGTTAAGATGAGCTCACAGGACATAATGGGTTTTTCCATGGGTGTGCTGCAGGTTTTTTTGTTTGTTTGTTTGTATGCAAGCTAACTACAGAGTACAGTATAACTGTGATTGTGATGTTATTCTGACTGTGCAATGTAAAGAGTTTGGGAAATGTAAATGCACCCATTTTATTCACCATATCTTTGAGTTGCTTTGCAAGAAATATTGATATTCATCTCAATAAATACAGCTATTTCAACTGATAAGTGTTTTTTTTTTCTGTAAGAAAAGTTTCTGACTTGATAGATAGAAAAATATAACTTATAAATATCAGCTTATAAATATATAAATATAACTTGGGCATCATATTTATTTACAGAGCAGTGTGTAAATGTTACCGCCTCCAGACTCTGCTATTGGTTGGATGTTTTTTCAGCGCGCTGATTGATTGGCCCACACGGTTGCCAATCTGGTGCAGATTTGACAGCGCGAGCGGTCCCCTGAGCGAATGCTGGATGTGAATCTGAAGTAGCTCACAGGCCAGAGGAACAAGAACAACAGAGGTGGCCGTTATCAAGTACACGCGGATGCAGGACAGTTCCGTCATTTTGCCATAAAGACATGACGGAAAGCAACGAAGAAGGTAAGATTTTGCATAGAAATTTTGCCAGACAGTAGTCTTTAATGCGTTGTGAAAGAGCTTTGGCCATTCCTGAAATGTTTCCTAATATGTCGATTTCAACACAACATTGGGGTTTCATAAGGACAAGCTCAATACGGTCATTCAGAATGAAAAGCTCTTCGTGGATAACAAACATAACTTTAGCATTTTAATTCTCCCTTGCATAATATAAGTGTGATAAAATTGCTTTATATTGTTTATTTATTTTAATATATATTTCACAAAATGCAGTAATAACATAAAACAGCTTTGAAGTTGCCGTCCTGTATTTACATTAGTGATTTTGTGGAGCTGCCATCAGCTCCTTTCTTATTGTGGAGCTGAGGCTGAGCAGCACAAAGAAGCACGAGGGGTCCTGATGAATGTGCTTGGCTCGTGGGGGCTCTTGTTGAAAAGCACGAGCCTGCAGGGATCAGCTGGCGTCTGGAGCCCAGTCACAGATTATGCAGAGGGGGAGGGGCTGAGAAGCTAAATTATGAAGAGCAAATCCAATTAATTCCATACTATGCGGAAGGATGACACCTAAACCACCGGTAAATGGATGCTAAATAATGTTTTCTTTGTGTGTGGGGTTAATATGAGATTGTCTTTGACAGAAATGTTTTGCATCATTATGCCTTATATTTAAGTTTAACTTTAGCTTATTAGCCCTATTCTTAAGCAATTGTAGTGCTCTTCAAACTTGAAATAGAAAACCATTGGTCATTGTAAATGCCAGCTTAACTTAAGGGCCATACTTAGGGATTGTAAAAGTGTTTCTAACCCTGTATCTGTTACATAGGTGTAAAACACTTTTACAAGGGATTTAAAACAAGTGCTGTGTAAAAAAAAAACATCTTGTTGTTCTCAGGTGTTTTGCAAGTTCAGAGAGGATGTTTGTTTGAAAAGTCTATTTATACGATTAGTTCAGCCCCATTTAAAGGTCTCCTCCATCTTCAGTTTTCCTCTGGGAATAAATGACAATGAAGCAGCAAGAATCGTCTTCCTGTACATTGTTAGCTTTACTGATTTTGGCTCCGAGATGGTAAGAGGGGAAACAGAGCAAAACATAAAAAGCCATCAAAGCAGCATGCTGCCTCTCATAACATTGTCCAGACTGACTCAAAACACTCAAACCAGGTAAAGAAAATAAGGAAGGATCAACTGAAACTGGTTGGGTTTGGTCAAACGTGATTCTTGGACTCCTTCGCTAGAAATACGATCATTTGGAAAAACAAAGATAAGCATGTGAACAAAGCTCAGCATGTTTGATCAATAGCCAGTGTGGAGTTTAAATGGGTGTGACCGAATGCAGTGAGGGATGTTAGTTATGGAGCATCCGGAAAATGGGTGATGGAGCCTTATTTGACCTGTTAATCTACATTTGGCTGAACTTTCTTCACAGTTTGTATCATAGAAACTGGAGCCTGAAATCAGGAAGTTCTGCTTCCTAATCAGAGCATAAACAAAATACCTTTTCCCCATTGAATCCCCCCCTTTAAAAATAATATTTCCTTCTATTCTGGAGTAAATCCGGA